GGATCTCTTTTCAAATTTCGGATATCTTTAATAATCTCCGAGATATTAGCAAAAAATCAAACCTTCCCTCAAGTTGCTAGAGGTCATTACGAATCGTAATGACAGAAGTTCAAAAAAAAAGGATCTTGTGACCTAGACTATTTCGCTGAAACTTTAATTTATACAATTTTGTTTCGCCCCAGTTCCATTCAATCTATTTTTCGAATCCCCAATGGTAACTGTGTTTTTGTATAATGTGCTATAACCCAACATTTCTCAATGAGTGTAGTATGTTTAATGATCCTAAATCTTACTCAAAGGAGAAAGCAAAGAGCTGGGATCAATGCAATATCCGACGTAGGCGTGAAACAAGTCCATAACATCCGTCAAAGGTTGGTACTTTACGTAGTCTTTTAAAAAATTCTTAAACTGTTTTACGCTTGCTCTGTTCAATTTCACCAGAATATTCTGGCATTGGGTCCTTAGAAATTCGGCAGCTGGTCCTCTTTGACCATCTGCGCAACCATGAGGGCATCCCAGATGTTTCAACACCCTATAAATTATCAAAAAATATTTAAAATTAGAACGAATATATGACGAATTCATACCTATACGAAGAATGTTCAAAAAATGTGGCGAATAACAAAATTTTGGGCGCTGCGTACATTCAATTAGCGATTTAGTTATTTTTATGTTGGTATACTCGTCTCGAAATGGAATTAAGTGCTCAAAAATACTTGAAATGTTGACAAAGGCATACGGTGATTGTACTCTGAGTTAGATGAATGTTTACAAGTGATACAAAATTTTCACAGAAGGTCGAGATGATGTGAATGACGACGCTCGCCCTGGACGCCCCAGTACATCAACAACCAACGAAAATGTTGAAAAAATCAAGACAATTGTCGAATCACTATTAGAGAAGTTACTGAGAATGTTGGCATATCGTTTGATTCATGCCATGCAATGTTTTCGAAAATTTTAGGCATGAAGCATGTGGCAGGGAAGTTCCAAAATTGCTGAATTTTGACCAAAAAAACCATAGCATTAGCATCGCTCAGGAACAACGATCCAGATTCGTTCAGCGGGGTCATAACTATCAACGCTGGTGTTCCTCAGGGATATATATTGTCTCCAAACCTCTTTCTATTGTATATCAACGACTTGCTACCGCGCGTACAGCGGGAAATTCAAATCCAGTAGTTGAACAAGGCGGGTTCTGGCACAATTCAAGGTCGATGACGCACACGTTTCTCTCTTCCACTCACTAAAGTTTCTCTGTGAAATACTTACCAGCGGCGCACGACCTTGAATTGCGCCAGAACCCGCCTTGTTCACCTACTTGATTTGAATTTCCCGCTGTACACGCGGTAGCTTCTGATAGGTCGACTGTATGACGGTAGAAGTGGAGAAGTGGAGGTGGTCTGAAGTGGACTTTGAAGGCTAAGGCTCAGTTTACACATAATGGATGTCTGGCAGAGACGAGGCGCTGACCTTTGCCCCTACCGTGTGAAGTGGGCCTGAGGTCCAAAAAACGCCAGAATGAACCTGTTCAAATTTGCATGTGTTTTTCCATAAGGAATGACTTAGAACTCCTATAGATGTATTACTGATAAAAATTGGGGTCAGTGGCCAACTGCCCAGGGCCCATTCAGCGAACACACGTCGTCTAGATCGTTTATCTTCATTTCCTGGGTCACTTGAGTTTTGTACGGGTGCAGGCCCAAGGTTTGGTCTGCGAAATACCAAGTTCTAGTGAGCGACGCGAAATCGACTGTCTCGGATTCCCTGCACACTTTCACAGACCGCGGTGATGTTTTCGGCAGATCTTGCGTTTCCTTGGGGTTGGTCGATCGTTTACTGAACCAGTGGATTCAAATTTGTCCACTACATTGCGAATATAGTCCTCTCGGTAGGAGTATATAAATATATAGAGTTCTATATGAAATTTTCGATTTGGGTTCATTTCCAGCTGAAACGAAATGAGCACTTTTCCCAAACACTAGCACCAACTGCAAGGCTCTTTTCGTGCTTGTTTTGAATTTATTCTACGCCAGAGCTTCCAGTTCTACCCGTTATGAGTTTTTTCCAATTGTATTTTCAATAAAAATATCGACTCCGAACAACTTCCTTCCTTCCGAATTTCAATTCTTTTTCCATAGAAACAATTGAAAGGCAACTGGTACAATGGTCCCGGATAATAACTCCGAGTTTTACTAAGCAAATAAGTCTATTCTACCCAAAATAACTTTAGTGCCTTCTCTGTGTGCCTACTACGATAAAAATTTCTAGGGTCAGTTGAAAACCCAACGAAGCTCCCAGCAACAACAAGGATATATCGGATCTTTCGAAGTTGTGGATCGGTGTACATTTAACTATGAAAGGACCCAAACCCGAACGCCAAACACAAAAACATGTAGACCCCGGTCTGCATAGCTTCGACATATTAAACTTTGGCCGTGATGACTCACATCCTTTGAGCCTTTGTACATTCCAAACGCTTCAATTTTAGGTTGTTTTTTAATATATACCACTTACCTCACTATAATATTCATGACCAATCTATGTGACGATACAATTTTTTCCGGTTTCTCGGTCTCCCCCAGTGAGCCTTGGGTGGCATTTAGATGTACTTTTGCGCTTCTTTTATCGGGGCTAGGGCCATCTTGTTGGGATGCTGAGCTAGCTATAGCTTCATCTCTGAGGCATTGTTTCAATACACCCATGTCCATTAGGAGCTCTATCAGATTTAAAATAACTTCCAGAACTCTGAGGGTGCAAGCACTGCTTTCTCTAACTGAAGTTCTGTGGACTGCCTGAAAGTAAAGGATATCACCTATTTTTTCGAATGTATGGAAAAAAAATCTAGTAAAATCTATAAACAGACCCGAAAAAACTACTCAGAACATGACAATGAGAAAAAAGTGGAACTAGAATACTACTATTAACTAAAAGAAAAGGTAACCAATATCAGCTAAGTAGCACTAACAGCACTATACAAAAATGCCCACGAATTAGAAGTGAAATACCTCAGATATTCACATTGAAGAAAATCGGTACACATATAAAAAATTAGGCATGCGACAGAAATTAGAAATGTTCTGAAACAGTAAGAGTATTAGATTTGTGGCGAATATTATTATTTTTGTTTGAAGGTGGTTGACAATGTTTCGTGGTGTATTTCATCAGTTCTGACTTCCATTGTCTAATATAATATAAATTGTATGAAATCCCTGAAAGAATCTGTAAAAAAATTAAAAAGATTAACCAAAAAATAAAAATGTTATTAAACAAAACACTGAAATTACAAGGAAATAACATACAAGCAACAACCAAAAAATTTAGAAATTGAAATATTATTACAAGCTAAAAATTAAAAAATTAAAAACCAAGTTACGTCACGACGTTTTCATTGTTAGTATCACAATAGTCTTTGGGTGATAACTGGTTATCACCCGAACTGATGAAATATTATAATTTTCTTTCAAAAGTTTTGTCGGTTTTAATGTCATGTGTTTTTTTAGATCCATATTTCAATAAATATTCATTCTACTGTATCGTGATATATTCTGATTGATAAAGAATTTTGTACTCTATCCATTGATACTACTGTTTTTTTTTTTTTCAAATTTCAATATTTTGTCTCTTTTCAGCTCATTATTATATGATGTCTCTAAGCGATTTTCTGCTAATTTTTTTCTACGAACTGAAATTGAACCGAAACGCTGCCGAAACAGCCCAAAAAATTTGGGTATTTGGTATTTGGCAATGGAAGTGTTAATGGAGACTGACCCATCACAAACGATGCGTGGGATGGCGTAAGAACTAGGCGTCAGCTCTCATGGGGTTTTTGATGGTTTAAAGCGTATTGGAAAGGTCCTAAGTAAGTGCTCTATGATTTGAACGATCGACAAAAATTGTCACGTTTCGAGGTGTGTTCTTCTTTGCTTTCGCGCAACCAAAATGATCCTCTTTTGGATCGGATCGTCACGTGTGATGAAAAGTGAATCCTCGACGACAACAGGAGTCGTTCAAGAGAGAGGTTGGACACCGATGAGCCACCCAGACTCAAAGCTGAAAACCCACCAAAAAAAAAAAGAACATGGTTACTGTATGGTGGTCAGCGGTTGGTGTGAGTCCTAATGTGAGAAAATCGACGAAATGTACCGAAAATTGCGTCAGCAGCCCCCAGCACTGGTCAAGCGAAGAGGTCTGATTCTGCTCCACGAATTGAACGTCAAAGTTCTGCGTCATCCACCATATTCCCCAGACCTCTCGCCAACTGATTAGTATTTTTCAAGCACTTCGATATCACTCTCACCAGCAGATACATCGACAATTATGACCAGGCAAAAACAGCGTTCGTCAACTTTACGAATGATGACGGAATTATTCGACTTTTGTTACGTTAACAAAACTACATTGATTGAAATGGCGCTCATTTCATTTGAATTGAATAAGTATTCACTGAGATATTACAATTTAGAAGTAGATTCATGAAAATGAAAAAAAATTTAAACAACCTAATTGATAGCTAATTTCAGTTTTTTGCATTCGAGACAAACACTTTTCGAACGAATTCAAGAACATTGGAAACTAAAAATAAAAACTCAAAATGTTTAAACTTCTAGGTCTATACATCGATGAAAAATTATCATAGAAAAATCATTCCGAAAATTCAAAACGTAAGCTCTCTCCAATGATTGATATATAATTCAAAATACGATTTCACAATGCATATAATTGAAATTACCTATCAAACGGGATATTACAAGAACGCCCTTTCTATTTGGAAACAATCAAGCCCTGTCTGTCAAAAAGTACTGAAAATGATTCCTTTTCATACAAACTTTGGCCGACTTTTATATATTGCCCTCTTCAAAAGTTATGAGGGTAAGAGAGAATCCTTTTACAAATCAAAAGTATGTGAATTTGTCGATTCACAATTCGAATTTTGGAAAGGTGAATGAATTTACTGCTGATATTGTCCGCGACTGCGTATAGAGGTTCCTAACACAAGGTGCAGGGCCGCGAGGCGCCCGAGACCCTAATGCATTTGCTATCAGCATGTCCAGCATATGCGGTCTCGGCCTATATCCATCGACATAACGCGACCCTAAGACTGCTCTATTACTATCTACGGCACTCTTACAGTATTGACGAGACACCGGTGTTGCCCTACACTCCAGGGGATATTGAATCCGTTGTGGGGAACGAAAAGTGCCGAATTCATTGAAACTATTTGTTCCCCACCCTCAGGCTCATATAAACTAATAAGCCTGATGTAGTCCTTCTCGACCACCAGAGCAAGACGATATTTGTCGTGTAGTTTTCAGCTGCTGGCGAGACGAATATAGTCCGAAAAAAAGGAGGAAAAACGGATAAAATATCGAAATTTTCTCTTCAAACTCCGCAGACTCTATCCGGACCACTCTGTCAAGATGGATGTTCTGATTATTGGAGTCCTTGGTGGAATGATGCCCTCTGTATCTGGAATCTTTAAATCATACCGGCTTGCCGCGCTAAGACAGAAATCTTAGACGGGCAGATGCAGAAGGCTGTCATTCTTGGCTCACTGCGCTTGCTCAGGGGACATGATTCTCGGACCCGATGATCACTTACTCCACGGTGTGGGAAGTGGTCGTTGATTGATAATGCTGGCGCGCCCTCGCGAATGTATCGGGGCTTCGAGGGATAGGGCCTGACCAGCACATACTATGGTAAAAAAAATAATAATAATGATTTTACTTTCCACCACATATCATAGTTAAAAATATGTTTTATAATGAAGATATGATCAACAAAAAATATTCGACACACATATATCGGGGTAATATAGCTTCAACTTACTCCCAAACCTTTCGACAAATATTAAATATAAAACTCTTCTGTAAAAAGTTTTTTGAATAGAATAATCCTTCATGACAGTGATGAAAAATTCATTTTCTAAAAAATCAACCTCAAGTGTCCATTTTAGGTACACTATTATTTATTACTTATGTTATATATGGCTAGTTCCGAAAAATTGTAGGATTCAGGCGTATGTGGATGATGATAATCAACTGTATATTGATTTGGATATGAAAGATGTCGAGCATACTGAAAATTCCATGAAAAGTGACTTGAAAACGCTGAACGGTGTTGACAGCCTTGACGGTTGGTGATACTGATAGGTCAGTATGGCCAATATTGCTCAACATTGAATGGAATTTGATTAATTACTTGGCGTAGGTTGTTCTGTACTGTACCACTACTCAGTTGCAGTTTCAAAAATTGAGTTCCACAAAATTTAAAACATGTTGGATATTTTCTTCGATCTTTACCGACTCAGGACGGGAACAGAACGACTTGTTGTAAAGTACAAAACGGGTTCCAAAACAGGTCGGTTCTAACAACACATTTTTCATTGGAATCCACTACTTGTTGTACATTACTGTTTTGAGACACGTTGTTCTACATCTTGCTGCATAGTTTAAAATGAAATGAGTTCTCAAGACTGAAATACTCTGTAAAACATTAATCAAAGCTATGAAGGTGGTGACAGAGGCATTTGACTCATTTATGATAGGACCACTGCTGTGAGACTGGTAACCGCGCAGTTACCATTATCAATTTCGTTGACTGCTGATTGTCTGCTTTATCAACATTTTATTTAAATATTTCATTGGTTTTGCAGAATATCTACCTTGAGAAATCACTTCAACTCACTTTATTTTCTAACAGAATGGAGTAGCGATGGCGCCACGTGTTTCAATACTTTGCTGTCTGACTGCAACGCCTGCCCTTGGACTATTATAATGGCTTTTCAGTTAAATTTATTGAATTTGACATGGTGTACTATACATCCAGAATACACATGAACAAATGCAAATATGTTTATTTATTATACATATTACTATTATTGTCAGTTGTAGCTGAAACAAAACAACTGAGATGTTTACTTTGCATGTAATACGAACTAGGTGATGTGGTAGGAATAACCTTGAACTGAACTTGGCCTATTTTCATTATCAATTTATGACAATCTTATCGTTATAATCAGATGCGAATGAATGGTTACGAATGCAAAGCAACAAATAACATCAGCGCACACATTTGTAGCTAATACCTGCAGAACAACTTGGAAATCTATGTCACCATCCTTGGTTATGTAACAAGCAGCACCGGGAGCTTCTGGAATATCTTCTCCAGCGTATGTGATGTTAGAGTCTGTTTGAGAACGAGTCAAACTTGCCTTTCTTTCTTGCCAGTTACCTAATTTACTGCCCGAGAGACTTGCTGCGTCCAACTGACTATCCATAGAACCCTGAAATTTGTTATAATATGCCAGTGTCACTTTTTTCGGGTTTAAAAGCCGTCAATTTTTGTAATTTCTTCCTGACGTTTCACTGGTGTGAGTGACGGGATATAACGGTTTCGTATTTATGTGGCATCAGGTTGGTTTGCTGTCAATACATGTATCTGGTTAGGTAAATGCGTAAAGCGCGTATATGTTGACTCAGGTAGTTTGAGTTTCGTGTTTTCAAACAGAATCCTGTGGTTTCTTTCACTAAGTGCATGTTCCGCCACAGCAGATTTGTCTGTTTGGCCTAGTTCACACTTTCTTTCAAGCTCCTTCAACCTTGTTCTCATGGATCTGTTGGTGATTCCAATGTATACTTTCACACAAGTTCATGGTGTGCATGGTATGCGATATACCTCTGCTGCTGATAGTGGGTCTCTCCTGTCTTTAGGCGACCTGAGACTTTGTTGTATCTTCTTGGTGGGTTTGAAAACCGTTTCAATGTTGTGTTTTCCAATTCTGTCTGTGACCCTAAGGATATATGGTAGATACGCACGTGCAACCATTTGATCCTCTTTCCCATTTTGAACCGTGGAACTCTTCAGTTTCATAGCCTTGTTTGTTATCGAGAACACTGTATCCATTCTATGGTTCACATATTATTTGAGCCCGTTCGGGCTCTTTTGACTAGGATGGTGGTTTGATAGTGTGCGCAGGTATCTATCCATGTGTGTGCTTTTTCCATACACGTTGTAGGTTAGTCTAGCACCACATCTTTCGATGAGTGCATCTAGGCAGGTAGAAAAGGGTTAATGAATGTTATTGACAATTTACCTAATCCAAGTACAGGTTTTGGCACACCAAACTACCTGTGGTCACATAAATACGCTTTACGCAACCGTAATATCCAGTCATCAGAGATAACTCAGAATGTATTAAATTGAAGCATTTTCCAAAATATTTTCTAAACAAAGTCTACCATCTATCACACTTAACAGTATTTTAATGAAATAATCTTTGAAATAACCATGTATTAAATCAATGGTGTGAAATCAGGTGATCCTGCTGGATGTTAGAGACTTTTCTGACGAATTCTGTCAATCAAAAGAATTTATTTTTTTCAATTGAATCTTTACCTTTCATTCCAAAATTTAGAGGTTGCAACCCTGATTTTTAAAGTGAGGATGAAAATTTTACACAGAAGGATATGATTGGATTTTTCATTATGCATAATAATTGAAATAACAAACCTATTCCACATGTCTGTTGTACCCCTTTATATTGAAGACAAATTTAAAAACATGTTTTTTTACCTGCCGACGCAAATAATCTGGCGATGGAGTGGGAGTATGTTCAGTAACGGTTATGATTGGATTTGCCATGGGCTGAGAATGTCCAAACTTACAAACTCTTCTGCACTCCCATTGGTTCTCATCGACATACCTAGAGTGAGATTCGAGTGTAACAGTTGATTTGGAAATATATTTTTGACAATTAAGAATTTCGATGAAATAATACAATAGAAGATTTATAGCTGTGCAAGGAAATCGAAAAGCTGAAGCAGCGGGAAAAGATATTACATTAGCCAATTCTTTCAAATCAAATGAAGCTTCTAGAAGCCGGAAGAATACCCATAAAAAGATACAATTTATAATACAACCAGTTACATTTCAGTACTATTTATAATATAAGTAGATGGGCAATGTTTATTCTATGACAGCATGCGCAGTAGCAACCTGACATTCAACGTGTAAGAAAGAGCGCATCGGTTAGGAGATGAGAGAGATGTAACGGGCGTCCCAAAAACGCAACATACCGGGCGTCTCAAACGTGATCATTTATAGATCATTTATGAAAAAAACATTCATATGATGTTTGTTGTTCAACTGTTTGTTCAAAGTTCAATGATGAGGCTTTTTTGTTCTGTCTTTACTTTTCATTGATACGGAACAGATACTCGATCACTTCATACACATTCAAGAATAAAAATGGGGCTTCAACCCCCCTATAAACGATCAAGTTTGATACGCCTGCGTTTTTGAGACACCCGTTACATCTTTCTCATTTCTGAAACGGATCAGCTCCATGTAAGTCGGCACTCTTCTGACCGATACGCTCTTTCTCACACGTTGAATGTCAGGTAGCTACTGCGCAAGCTGTCATAGAACAAACGATGCCCATCCACTAATATTATTAAAATCAATGGATCAATATCAAGAAGATATTATATAATTGTTTATTGAAATTATGAAACTTATTAAGTGCACTATATTTTCAATTTGTGATGATGTTTTCAAATAATATTCTGAATTTTCAAATGTCATAGTGAAACAATAATTATAAATTCAAAACAAATTGACAAAATAAGGAAGTTGAAAAATGAAGATTTGCCGTTTTGAAGTTGGGTACTTGAAACATCAAAAATAATATCGACCATTTTATGAGTATTTTTGTAAATTGCCTAATATAACCTCTACACGTAGGTCAACATACTTACCCTCCAGAGTTAAGTTCGTCTAAAATACAGCTAGGAAAGACAGAACGGTAAGAACATTCAGATAGACATAAATGCACATACAGAGAAGAGAATAAATACAATAATCAAATACACAAAAATACTATACTTTTATGAAAAATTATTGCCCATGATGTTCTGAATTTGTGAATCGACATCAGCGATTGACGTCCAGCACACTCATCAGTTTTTTCGTTATCTGTGACTTCTGAATCTATTGAAATTTGTGTTTTCGGTCAACCAGCTGTCGCCCTCCTACGAACAATAACTCTCAGAAGGCGAAACTTGTGCGAGCTAAGGATTAACGAGGTCTTGCCTCGTAGTCCTGACCTAGCACTACCATACTTTCATCTTTCTCCAAAACTCCAAAGAATTTCTTGATGGAAAGCTCTTGGAAAATAAACAGTTACTAATTGACTTGCCAGTCAAGTGGCAAAGTTCTATAATGATAAGATTCAAAAGTTGGTTCCAGAACTTGACGAATGATAAACATCATTTATATTCATGAATAAAGTTTCCTTCACTTCATCACAAAACGGTCCTAATTTAAAAATTTCTCCGTACAAAATGTAAAGGAGTTTGAATCAAGAATGTCTCCAGTGCGGCTGTTGACTTTCACTGCTTCCAATATTCCCAAACAAAGAAGTCCGAACCCGCCTGATTTATTGATAGTAGTCACTTGTTTCATCTTTGTCAACAAACCGCAGACTAATATGTTATCAATAGTTCAATCACTATTGAGTACATCTGGTCTGCATCAATGTTACTTCTATCTTTCTTTTTATACTGTCTAAATATTGGTTCCAAGTCTGTCTAGGATCTAAAATCACTGTCACATATTCAACCTATCCTGACAGTTGTATCTCTTCATCTTGTAGTTGTAGAGGTCCTTAGTCCTCCCATCTTGGTCCTCGCCATGATTGGTCCATTCGGCTTATGATCAACCATCCTCTGTTCATCCTGTTATAAAATCCAGGACATGCTGCATGCTATATTTCCAATGGGCTATAGTATAACCTAGTCGGTCGTATAACCCACTTATCCATTGTGGGCTAGAAGATCTAGTAATTCGTCCATTACATGGTTTCATACAACAGTGTGGATAAGTCACCTCTAATGCGTCATACAGGCGTCTTCTCGATGCCTGTATGATAGCTCCTAAGCACATAACCTATAGTCTTTAAATAAATTAGTTCCATCAAAACACGTATCTAGTGTACCAGTGGATAAATTATGGACCTATGTTTGGTTCTCGACATATCTATATACTATGTACTATCTCTAGCTGATCATCATCAACTCTATGCTGTTTGTGACTTAAACCGTGAAGGTATGTTTCAAGTTTCTATTTTCTCCGATGCCTAGTAAGTAGTTCCATATTGTCTCATTTCGATTTATTTTAAGTTGTTTTTACTGAATAAATGACTTTCCGTATTTTCATGAATCGTTCTGAATGTAATCAATGTTTAGACTAATGTCATTATCAAAATTGAGAAAATTTAGCAATTTGGAAGTAATAGACATATACTGAATCAAAAATTATCAGAAGTTTTTATGGAAAGCTTCTTTAGTTTGAAAATAATGACGCTAGATTAATTACACTTAATAAAATTTGGCAATAATTTTTCATAACTGTTAACTATAATAAATGATATTAATTTGAGGTAATGCATAGAATTTGTGATGATGCATAGATCAGGAATATAATAAAATTTGGTACCAAAGGTTCCTATTCAGCCTGATCTTGGCATATCATTCTTGACAACTCAAACCTAGGATAATTCTTGTAGTTTTGTTATTATCATAATCAGGTACAGAAAATCAGGTTAGTAACAAGAGGTAAACTGATGCTCAAAAAGCAGTTCAAATGGAAACGTTGTTGATCCGAGCGAAACACAAAAAAATGTATTGATTCCTTATCACAAAATAAGTTATTTTAAATCATATATCACAAATTATCGATAAAAAATCATGCGATTTTCATTTTGTGAGTGTGTATCAGAAAAAAGGATTCAATTCGACATAGTGACAATTCGACATGATGGAACAACCGTTACTCCAGAGGGACTCAAAATATCAATGTTTCATTGTTTGATTTGTATCTTTGATCTTTATTTCGAATCTTAATTATCCATGAGATACCGTTCAAGTACCTGTTATATTCAAAGTAGTATCTTCAAATAATAGTTTTAAATAATTTTCGAAAAAAAATACATATCTGTTTTGGTTCCTTTTCAATTTCCCACACCGAAATACATTTTAGAAAATTCAAAAATTTCTTATGAATCCTTCATATTTCAATAATTGCACATATTCTATAATAATTTATTTTCATTACAGTTATAACAGAAATGAGCAAATAATTAAATGATTATGACCAAAACCTTTCAATATTTTCAAAATAAGACTTGAAATCCCGAGACATTAGAGAATGTGGAATAGATCACGAAATATCATATCTTTATTACTGGTAATAACAAACCTGAAAAGAATTACCATAGATATGGGTCAAAATATGCAAATATGCAAATGGGAAGCATCTTCCATCTTACCTGAGGCTGGGCATACTTTTTCCCTTGATTAAATTAGTGGTGTTAGGTTCATATCGTTCGTACATTTTTGATATAGTGGACTTAGGCCTGGAAAGATGGTCGTCCCCTGTATCTAAGCTCCGGTGGCAATCCTACATAAGTAATAAATATATACTCAATAATAAATTNGTCTCAGCCTTGAAAGTAGTATGAACATCAGCCCTGGGTAATGCATTAGTTATTAGATTGTCTTACAGTATATATCGAAGGGTCTCTGATGAAGCCATCTGATTCGTGAAGAGATGGTAAACGAAAAATGACAACATGTTCTTCCTCTGTACTAGAACTTTCCTCGGGAATAGTTTCCGGAAATACTGTGTCTTTTGGTGAAGAGACCCATGAACTCTATAACCATAAGTTGAAAGATGAAGTACTGGATTGATGACAAAACTGTATTGTTTGATATTGCTCATATCACTCCTAATAAACCTCCCGAAAACATAATAAAATAAAAAAATTGAAATAGCCCTTACACCATATTTTTTGAGGATCCTTTCATTTCGGTCTGTCACACCTCTTATGTAGGGCAGAGAAGTTCTTCCATTTGCCGCTCGCTCCAGTGTCACCATACAGTGTTTCTGTATGGGTTCGCTATTTTCAGTCCCACAAGAACGATAAAAAAGAGTCTCAGGTCAGCAAAAGACCCCAGGAATCTTTTAAATACCCCAAGAGCATAATGAATATCGTGCAGTAGTGGTTCGTTCTACACCGGAACCACAAAAAGAAGCGTTAAAACGTTGCCGCTATGGCTAAACAGATGAATCGGCAGTTCCTGAACACGCTTTCCCACAGGGCAGCCATGGAAATACATACATAAATATAAGAATGTCAACCATGAGAAAGAGAGCTCAAACATCAATGAGACATGGACACCGGCATTTCATAACATAAAGATTCTCCCAATAATTCAAGAAGGGGCAGACCAATCGGGTACAAGAGCAGGCAGTAACACAAATATTCTCCCAATAATTCAAGAAGGGTCAGATCTATCGGGTACAAGAACAGGCAGTCGTCCGACACCTAGTCCTATCATTAGTAGGAACGTACCAGGACAACTTTTATCCTCCCCCATAACACCCAAATCCGGTGTCCCCCAGGGATCGGTCCTTTCTCCCTCCTCTAATTTACGTTCAGGACAATCCCACGACTCAAAAAATCCTCCAGTAAACCGAAGACACTATCCTCTACTCCTACGCTCCCACTACATACAGCTCACAAATTCAAGCACTAACCATAATCGACCACTTTGAGCAGTGGTACAAGTGGCGTATCAAAATAAATCCCACCAAAACTCAAACCATACTTTTTAGACATCTGCATACCACTACCCGCCCTAAATCAAATCCTGATAACTTGAACCTCAGACTCTTAGGAGAAAACCTCATACTCCAAGACTTGGTATCCTACTTTGGGGTCACCTTCACGAGGACCCTCAACCGGTAAGCCGGAAAAAAGCAAACTTACTAAAAGCATTGAGGGGCAAGCTCGAGAGATGTGACAGTAAAACCCTCCTACACACATACAAAACGTTTATCAGGCCAGTTCTAGATTATAAAGCCATGGTACACTATACGCTTCCCCTGAGACTATTCTACCGCATCCTAACAACCGAGAGAAGAATCCTACACAATATCCACTACCTCCCTTACCGATATCCATCTCAAACAGTATTTAACCTAGTAAATACGACATCAACCAACCTACGATTTCAGTAACTTCAAGGATGATATGTGACAAGAACGATGAGCAGCAATAACGCTGATGCCATCAAACCACGGCTAATTAGCCCGGAAACATCGGGTTTATTTATATGGCTACACTGAGGTCACAATCTGCCTACTCCTCTGGTAGTGACACGCTTCAAGGGTTTTGTGACTTGAAGTCGAGCTCTCACTCTGCCTACTCCTATGGTCTCGTCATTAGTCTTCGCAAGAGTCTCAATCTGTGTACTTTCAAATGAGTACTGTGGGTGTGGAGTATGAGGGTGTAACTTGTAGAAGTTGGGACGTATTTGAATTTCAATATCTCTGCAGATTATCGTGGTCTGTAGAGTGTTTTGGGTGGTAATGCTTTTGTTGATTTCGAAGCTTATTGTGAGATCAGTTTCAAGGTGTGTTTGATGAGAAATGATGTTGGATCTGATTACGGACACGTAGCTCATGTTCATAGGCTCTTTTGGAGAATCTTCTGTTGATCTAGGCGAGTAAGCCTGGCCGTAGGTGTCCGTTAAAAATTGGTGTGATATTCGGTTAATTGAATTTGAAAGTATTTAGATCTTATATATTTCAAAACAAAATGCAGTTCAATGAATAAGTTTAGCGTTTGAGAATATAAGTAGAAAATTTTCAAGGCTTAATTGCAGTATTAAATAATTGAAAAACAACTGAAAAGTTATGGAGTTGTTCATCTATGATTGGCCGCGAGGTAGTGAGTTATGAATCTGGTCAGCTGTGATTGGTTGGAAGGTGTTACTTATGGGACATTTTGCCTACTTTCTCAACAAGAAACGGTCACATGAATATATTTCGAAATAAACCCTAACTTAAGAAATTACCTCATCGTCTATCTTAGTTATGGTTGCCGTTATTGTCACAGTGGTGGCAGATCCAGCTGTAGGAAAATATTGTTGCTGTTCTGAACTGGAAGCGCTAACCCCCTGACTTATTGTAGGGCTGTCGTGGCCTAGTGGATCATCCTGGGACGGTTTACCTATTTTAAATATCAATATAAATATTCATGTGAATATTGATAGTTGAAGTCACTAACTATTACTACATTTGTGTACCCATTAAAAAAGTTGTACCAAAAATTCGTGCAACATTCTTCGTCGAATTGTCATTTTATCTTATTATAAAAATAACAAGAGGACAGGAATGTACACTTCAAATCAATTTCTGGGTTTTTCAGTCTGCAGAGTTTTATCCAAGAAGTTTCGTCTGCAACTGCGGTATATATACAGGCCCTCACATACTTCATCGTACTTTAGTGATAGTATATTCTGTGGGGATAGAAAACACACTGCGTCAATTTTTCACTACCTTTAATAATGTATACCACAGTTGAAGACGTCAGGTATAAAAACCTGCAGACTAGGTTAGGTTAGGTTAGGTCCAAAGTGAGTGGGTCTATTCGACCCTCCACCGCAACCCGCAAGGGATTATTGTGGCTCATACCTATTCACACTCGACCAAATAAACCCAGCTTCTTAACGAAGCCGATTAGTTTGTATGGTGAGTGGTCTTTCAGGTCAGATGATAAGAGTACGGCTCAGCGGAACTCTAAAAACCTGATTCGGTCTCCAGCGGGGCAGGTACAAAGTATATGCTCTGATGTTTCATCATTTTTCAAACAGAGGCGACACACACTGTCTTCCGACAGTCCGAGTCTCTGCATATGATGATTCATTGACAGTGACCTGTAAGAAGGCCTGTTAGACATCGTAGTTCATTCCTACTGTAGTCCAACAACTATTTAGTATCAAACTTCGAAGGGTGAATAAACGCCTTGGGGTAAGCCAATTCTGGAAGATTCTGCCAGTAGTCCATAAATCTTCTTGCCATCCAGGTGTTCAATGTTTGTTTGCCAAAGCCTGAAGTGATGTCAATGATGGTTCTGGTCCGATGAAGCTGTTTGCAGCACCCTCTTTTGCAAGGGAGTCAGCAGCCTCATTGCCTTCCAGGCCAGTATGGCCAGTAATTCAGACCAGAGACAATCTGTTAAGTCTTCCTATCGAGGAGATTTGTTTTTGGCAATTTGCTACCAATTTAGACGTTGCTCGGTAGGAGCCAAGAGCTTCCAACGCCGCTTGACTGTCGGAGAATATTTTTATTGACTCCGCATACAATTCAATAGCCTAAATTTCCGCTTGAAATACAGTTGCATAGAATTTCACTAGTTCGGACTTCCATTGTCTACTATATAAAATGATTTGAAATCCCTGAAACAACTAAAAAAGAATTGAAAATGAATAGCTGAAAATAACAATTATATTAACCAAAATAAACCTGAAATGAAATAATAGTGAAATAAAAAATCTACAATCGTCTTCGGGTGATCACCCGAAGGGTGATTTATTTTGGTTAATATAATTGTTATTTTCAGCTATTCATTTTCAATTCTTCTTTTTTAGTTGTTTCAGAGATTTCAAATCATTTTATATAGTAGACAATGGAAGTCCGAACTAGTGAAATTCATCATGAAACATTGTCAATCACCTTCAAACAAACAGTAGCATAGATTCCTACGCAGGTAGATATTTCTGTCCTGAGTCTGCGACTAAAAACACCGGCACCGGCAAATTGTTTTTTATCCATCTGTGAACCAACAACTATCTGCTCGCAATATTTCCTTCTCCCGGAGGATCCAGTCCTCTCTATTCGGAAACAGAACTTTATAAAGCAGTTCGTAGTTGACAGTTGGAAGCATAAAGTCAGGGGTCATTTCCAGAATGCTGTGACTTTCAGTGTAAACCAACAGTCAGTCTGTTGCACTCTATATTAAATTGATTGGTGCAATTGGCAATATGTACAAGTCTGTATGCAGTTCATCTAGCCTCTCTCTCCAGAAAAATGTGGAGAGGAGGTAGATCTAGAAGGATCTCCATAGCCACTGACGGTGTGGTACTGATGGCATCACTGATGGCCAGACAAGCCTGTCTCTTTAAGCCAGAGAACTTCGCCTGGGTCGTTTGCTAACCTGCAGACTAACAAACCTGAAAAATTGCTCTGACACATTCACATAGATGATTATAACTTAATACAGTGAATCTCAGCCTACATTTATATCTATTATATGTCACGTCAGTATCGTACATTTAGTTTGGATGGCAATGCATGGTTAGCTAAATAACGTCATTCTATTCGGCTAAGAAAGCGGATTAGTTACTTTTCATGCACTTCCATGATATGGGTATCAAATGAAAGAGTTTGCTGAAAATAATACGAAAAATATAACGTCACTCTAAATTTAATATGGCGGACCATCCCAGATTTCCATGATTTGGTTGTTGAATGAAAGCATTTTCTTTAAAAATATGGAAAATAGATGAAATTCAATATGGCGATATGGATATTAAATGGAAGAGTTCAGAAAGAAGAAATTCAAAATAGTTGTAAACAAGATGGCTGCCATACCAATTTTAAAGAGATTTAAGTTAGAGAAAGTCGAGGTTAGTTTGGTGGTGCTCGTACCGAGTATGCTGCAATGAGACATTAAAAATGAAATAAACACACGCATGTCCAGCGATAACTGCGAAATAAAAATTACATTCTAGGTACAACGTAGGTAGGTATATGATAAATAAACTTGTCACGAGATTCACCTGTGTATGAACTGTGAAATGTTATAATTTGATGGGTTTCATCCAATGTGAAATTAATTTTTTTTTCAACATGTTAAAAAACCTTCTTTAGAAAAATGTTATTTACTATCATTTTATTTGAGCATATCCTTGGTTAGAGAAAAACTATCAATACTGAAATGAAAACTAATTTTATTTTTAATCAAAATTTTAGATTACTTGAGTAGGCCAAATAAAAAAAAATAATTCATTGAATAATAGCTCCACTTCTCAATAAATATTTATTAGACTGTGACGTCGTGTATACCGATCGTTAGAAAATTTTATACTCTATACAAAGATGCTGATCATTTTTTTCCAAATTTTTTTCTAAATTTAAATTTTTTGTCTCTTTTCACCTTAATACTATATGTCGTTGAGCGATTTCTATCCAATTTTTCTCTACGAATTCAAATTGAACCAAAGCGCTGCCGAAGAAGCCTGAAAAATTATAGTCTGGGTCACAAGATCCTTTTTTGGAACTTCTGTCCAAGGGCTGGTTCGAAAAAATTGCTGTCTTAACTTTCATACTTCACTCAGGCTATTAACAACTTTGACATGTTGTGTCCTATGTGATAGATATTCCTCCAAAATATTGTATGTTGAGCCACGTACACCATACCCATGGACTTTTTTTAATAACATGCCGTGATCAACGGTGTCGAATGCCTTAGCTAGGTCTAGAAATATAGCTAAACATTTTTCTGATCTATCCAAGGCCCCAATTTTTTTTTGTACAAAATTTAGCACTGCTTTTTCGGTATTGGAGTTGCTAATGAAACCGAACTTGGTTGGTATTTTTTGCACTGAGGTTATTCATGAGTCTACTCACTGTTCGAAGTAGGTTAGCGAGTTTCGGTCCGAAATTTAAATCTCGAAGAGGAACCCCGAAATGGTGACCCCGGTGGAAATTGACCATCACAAACGGTGCGTGGGATGGCGGAAGAACTGGGCATCAGCTCCCATGCGGTTTTTAATGGTTTAAAACGTATTGAAAATTTCAAGGAATTTGAAAAGTGGGTGCCCCACGATTTGAACGATCGACATAAATGGTCATGGTTCAAGGAATGTTCTTCTGTATTTTTGTGCAACCAAAACGATCCTTTATAAATCGGATTTTCCCATGATTATAATGAAAAGTAGGTCCCCTACGACATCAGAAGACGTTCAGAACAGTGGTTGGACACCGATGAGCCACCTAGGCACTTCCCACAGGTGAAAACCCACTAAGAAAAGACCATGTTTACTGTATGGTGGTCAGCGGCTGGTGTGATTTACTATAACTTTCTGCAACCGGGCCAAACCATCACAACAGAGTCCTATTGTGCCTCAGCAGCAGCCGACACAGGTCAACAAAAAAGGTCCGATCCTACTCTACGACAACGCCCGTCCTCAGGTTTCACAAATCACTGCCTGAAAACTAAACGAATTGAACGTCAACCGACTACCACCTTTCCAAGCACTTCGATAACTTTCTCACCAGTAGAACCTTCGCTAATCAGGACCAGCACACNACATTTTAGAAAATTCAAAAATTTCTTATGAATCCTTCATATTTCAATAATTGCACATATTCTATAATAATTTATTTTCATTACAGTTATAACAGAAATGAGCAAATAATTAAATGATTATGACCAAAACCTTTCAATTTTTTCAAAATAAGACTTGAAATCCCGAGACATTAGAGAATGTGGAATAGATCACGAAATATTATATCTTTATTACTGGTAATAACAAACCTGAAGAGAATTACCATAGATATGGGTCAAAATATGCAAATATGCAAATGGGAAGCATCTTCCATCTTACCTGAGGCTGGGCATACTTTTTCCCTTGATTAAATTAGTGGTGTTAGGTTCATATCGTTCGTACATTTTTGATATAGTGGACTTAGGCCTGGAAAGATGGTCGTCCCCTGTATCTAAGCTCCGGTGGCAATCCTACATAAGTAATAAATATATACTCAATAATAAATTACGTGGGAATAATACAAGGCTGAATCAAGTTAATATTTGATCATTTTTAACAATATTTCAGTCGCTTGTACCAAGATTCAATATTGTTGAATATCCCACTCCTGATATCTTCGAAATAGACAAGGAAAAATGAAACGGTAGAGACGAAGAAAGAGGTAGAGAAAGATACATACGATCACATTTAACATTCTTCTTGAACCCACCGAAACTTGTCCAAGAGGTTTTTGTTCCTCCTGTCCGATTTTTTCCAGAGCTTTATCAGATTTCGATAATAGTTTGGTTTCGACGAAAGTTTTTAAATCCGCTATTTTCATTCGTCGTTTGCTTTTTTCGCTCGCGGTTCTTTTGTGAAGAGACTCGTCAGATTTTGTTTGACTGTGATATGGAGATTCTGAAAATTAATAGAACAGTAAAGTTTAACTGCAAATAAATATTTGCAGTAAGAGAAATATGGCTCTTATGCCTCACAAAATGATTTTAGCTACTTCAGAAGCATATATGGGTAATTCATCTTAGTTGAAACAATATCTATAATTAGGACAGAAGGATAATAAAATATAAAGGTGAAAAAATCACCTTATTATAATTATAACAGTAAAATTCAGGTATTTTACAAATCAATTGTTGCTGAAGTTCTGGTAGTAACAATCATGTTGGTATGTGAATAATTTTTTACAAGATTACTCGTTTCTAGAATCAACCTTAAATCATTGATAATACTTCCTTCATTACCTGCGTGCAAGGAAACATCCTTAGGCTCAGGAACTTCAATGAAATCCTTATTACTGTTATCACCTTTTCTCGATTCAGTGCTTTGATATAAAGACACTTCAATCTTTGGTATAGGTAAAGAATTACTTCTTTTCCTAGGTTGTTGCTGACCAACAGATTCATCACTTATATCCCTCAACCTGAAATGAACAGTTAGCCAAAAATCGTCTAATTTGTCAGTCATTGTTCATCTTACCTGTTGTACATGTAATGCAATGCCCAGTAAATCCCTTCTTCTTGCCAATGGGTAATGAAAAGACATCTAAGCACAGCAACGTCCAAAAATGTTGCTGCAGATATGTCGTGAACGGGCATCATGCCTTTACTAGTATCATCTTTTTGACATCCATCAGTGGATGCCAGTTTGCTACTATCCATCGAATCTTTATCGGTTGAAGATCTGAAAATAGAATTAATTGGTATTCCAAAAGTTACAGTTTCGTGATCGATGTTTACCCTATCTTCTGCATTGGTGGTTTGGCACCGGCAGGTTTATTTTCCGATCCAGTGGCAGCAGCAATATTTTCAGTTTTTACGTTATTATTTCTTCCATTTCGTCTCAAAGCTAACTGAATGATGCTCGTCTCAGCCTTGAAAGTAGTATAAACATCAGCCCTGGGTAATGCATTAGTTATTAGATTGTCTTACAGTATATATCGAAGGGTCTCTGATGAAGCCATCTGATTCGTGAAGAGATGGTAAACGAAAAATGACAACATGTTCTTCCTCTGTACTAGAACTTTCCTCGGGAATAGTTTCAAATTACTCGATAGAGCCTTGGTAGAATTCGTCCACACTATAATAGGGCCTCCCAACAAGCAATTCTTTCACTTTCTTTCTGAATTTCTTTTTATTATATATTCGCCTTAAATTAATGAGAAGGTGATTAAATAACTTCTTGCTATTGAAAATAATACAATTTTATGTAAGGGCTGGAGTAGGTGTTAGAAGGAAAATGAAGTAAAACTGACGTGTACTATAAGTTGAGGTGGTATTAAATTTATTTTTATATTTTTTGTGGATAAGACACGCTGTTTCCAAAATAAAAAGACATACTAAGGTCAGAATTTTTTGCTTCACAAATAATGGGCGGCATGAATCCCTGTAGCTAGCCTTGCATAAATATCTGATGGATCTTTTTTGTAGAGAGAGTACCATATTGAAACGAAATTGTGCACAATTTTCCCAGAAAAAAATGTCATAACGTAAATAGGACTCAGTTTGTGCAAAATAAACTAATCTCCCTTGCAACAACTTTCACTGCATGACATCCTGCTGCTAGTTTTTTACATAAGTAGTCGATATGGGAATCAAATCTTCGATTTTCATCAATGAAAAGCCCTAAAAATTTGTTTTTCTTCAAATTTTCAATTTTAACATTTTCCAAGTGTACTTCCCCTATGTTACATCTAAACGTGACCACATTTGTTTTGTCGAAGTTGAATGATGAAAGATTGGAATAACACCACTCTTTCACCCTTCTTATATCGACGATGATTTGATCAAGTGAATTTGAGGCGGTATTGCTATGTCAGAGGATAGTGGAGTCGTCAGCGAAACATGTGAATTTACCACTTATGTCAGCATGGAGTAAGTCATTGACATAAATGAGAAACAACACTGGTCCCGAAACGGAGCCTTGTAAGACCCCACTGCCAATGAAACGTTCCTCTGATGAAATTTCATCTAATAGAACATTCTGTCACCTATGAGAAAGATACGTCTTAAACCAAAGTAATGTAGATCCTCTAGATCTGTAAACTTCTAGCTTGCGAAGAAGTAGCATGTGGTCTACACAATCGAAAGCCTTGGTTAGGTCATAAAACATGGCCACCGCAGATTCTCTTTTATTAAGATTGGTGTACAGGTTTTCCAGGAGTGAAAATATGGCGTATTGTGTACCTTTTGAAGACTGACAGCCAAACTGGAATAAATTTATTATATGGTTTTTCTCGAGGATGGATATTACTCGTTTCTTTACCAGTTTTTTCTATAACTTTAGACCTTTAGATCGCCTCCTTCATGTAAAGGAAAGATTGTGGCAATTTTCAGACCCGATGGGAACATACCTTTGGAGAATGAGTAATTTATTGCCGCTATTGGCCGGTAGCTACAGTGTCACCAAGGAGTGTTTCTGTATGGCTTCTGTATTTTCCATCCCACCAGAAAGATGGAGAATAGTCTCAGGTCAGCAAAAAACACCAGGAATCCATTAAATACCCAAGGTTATACTGAATATCGTACAGTTGTGGCATAGTAAAAATCAACCAGTAAGTCCACTCCCACTACTTCGTTCTTTTACCATAGGCGTGCGCTCATATAAAATCGAAATTTTTGGATATAATAGAGGATTTTGTGGTTAGTTACTTATAACCAACTACAAAAACTAAAAACAATAATAACAACAGTACAACAATAATAACAACAATAATAACAATACAGTATCAATTTCCGACCGGTTATTATAAATAATCCGATACCCGTGTTACCGTCGAATCCTTCGATACTACAGCACTGAAGGCGTTGGATGAGAATCTCATCCTAAGAGCGGTTGAAGGTCCCCGGCAACTCGGGCGGATTACATGGTAAGAAAGCCTACTGATTGTATTATTCTACTGTGATTGTGGTTCGTTCTACAACAGAACCACGAAAAGAAGCGTTTAAACGCGCTTGACTGTGCATAAAAGAAGTTGCCGCTATGGCCAAACAGATAAATCGGCAGTTCCAGAACACGCTCTCTCATAGGCCAGCCATGGAAATACATACATAAACCTAAGAATTTCAACAATGATGAAGAGAGCTTAAACATCAATAAGATATAAACACCGGCATTTCATAACACAAAGATTCTCCCAATAATTTATGAGTGGTCATACCAATCAGGTACAAAAACAAGCAGTCGTCCGATACCTAGTCCTATTAAGTACGAACGTACCAAAACCACTTTCAGTTTGTGCATCGCAGCAAAGTAGATCACTTCGACCGTTGCCGTATCGCTTTTGATAATGTCTACCGCAGTAGTAGACGAAACGTTAGGTACAAAAATCTGTAAACCAGGACTAATAAGCCCGAAAACATCTGGTTTATTTCTATGACTTCACTGAGGCCTACTCATCTGGTCTCGTAATTGGTTTTCTCAAGGGTCTTAATCTGTGTACTCCCAAGGACTGTAGGGCCCGAAGATCCGATCCCGTGTTTTTTCTGTGGACAAGAGAAGCGGGCCACTGCTGGGAGCAAAAATGATATTGGTAGTGGGAATGAGGATGTAACTTGTAGAAGCGTGGTGCATGGGGAATCGTCTCCTTTCATGAAGTTGGGAAGTATTTCAATTTCAATATCTTTGGAGATTATCCTGGGCTGTATAGTGTTTTGGGTGGTAATGATTTTGTTGATTTCCAAGCTTATTGTGAGATCAGTTTCAAGGTAGTGTTTGAAGAGAAATTATGTTGGATCTGATTTACGGACAGGTAGCTCATGTTCATAGGCTCTGTTGGAGACTCTTCTGTTGATCTGGGCGAGTAAATTCTGGCCGTAGGTGTTCGTTAAAAATTGGTGTGATATTTGGAATAACTTTGCCGTTTGAGAATATAAGTAGAAAATGTTCAAGGCCTACTTGCAGTAGATAATAATTGGAAAACAACTGAAAAGTTATGAAGTTGCCCATCTGTGATTGGCAACGAGGTAGTGAGTTATGAATCTGGTCAGCTGTGATTGTGATTATGGAACATTTTGCCTACATTTTTAACAAGAAACGGTCACATGAATAGATTTCAAAATGAACTGAAACTTAAAAAATTACCTCATCGTCTATCTTAGTTATTGTTGCAGTTATCGTCACAGTGGTGGCAGATCCAGCTGTAGGAAAATATTGTTGCTGTTCTGAACTGGAAGCGCTAACCCCCTGACTCATTGTAGGGCTGTCGTGGCCTAGTGGATCATCCTGGGACGGTTTACCTATTTTAAATATCAATATAAATATTCATGTGAATATTGATAGTTGAAGTCACTAACTATTACTACATTTGTGTACCCATTAAAAAAGTTGTACCAAAAATTCGTGCAACATTCTTCGTCGAATTGTCATTTTATCTTATTATAAAAATAACTAGAGGACTGGAATGTACACTTCAAACCAATTTCTGGGTTTTTCAGTCTGCAGAGTTTTATCCAAGAAGTTTCGTCTGCAACTGCGGTATATATACATGCCCTTACATATTTCATCGTACTTTAGTGATATTATATTCTGTGGGGATAGAAAACACACTGCGTCAATTTTTTCACTACCTTTAATAATGTATACCACAGTTGAAGACGTCAGGCATAAAAACCTGCAGACTAGGTTAGGTTAGATTAGGTCCAAAGTGAGTGGGTGGGTCAATTCGACCCTCCACCGCAACCCGCAAGGGTTTATTGTGGCTACCTATTCACACTCGACCAAATAAATCCAGCTTCTTAACAAAGCCGATTAGTTTGTATGGTGAGTGGTCTTTCAGGTCAGATGATAAGAGTGCGGCTCAGCGGAACTCTAAGAACCTGATTTGGTCTCCAGCGGGGCAGGCACAAAGTATATGCTATGATGTTTCATCATTTTTCAAACAGAGGCGACAGACACTGTCTTCCGACAGTCCGAGTCTCTGCATATGATGATTCAAATGACAGTGACCTGTAAGAAGGCCTGTTAGACATCGTAGTTCATCCGTAAAGTAGTCCAACAACTGTTTGGTATCAAGCTTCAAAGGGTGAATAAACGCCTTGGAGTAAGCTAATCCTGGAAGATTCTGCCAGTAGTCCATAAATATTCTTGCCATCCAGGTGTTCAATGTTTGTTTGCCAAAGCCTGAAGTGATGCCAATGATGGTTCTGGTCCGATGAAGCTGCTTGCAGCACCCTCCTTTGCAAACGAGTCAGCAGCCTCATTGACTTCCAGGCCAGTATGGCCAGGAATCCAGACCAGAGACAATCTGTTAAGTCTTCCTATCGAGGAGATTTATTTTTGGCAATTTGCTACCAATTTAGACGTTGCTCGCTGGATTGTCCGAGAATATTTTTGACTTATGTATGAGGTTGGATTCTTCCAATCTCTCCGTACACAATTCAATAGCGTAAATTTCCCCGCTTGGAATACAGTACCATAGGTTCCTAGGCAGGTAGATATCTCCGTCCTGGGTCTGCGACTAAAAACACCTGCACAAGAATCGGAAGGTGTTTTTGATCCATCTGTGAACCAACAACTATCTGCTCTTAATATTCCTTCTCCCGGAGGATCCAGTCCTCTCTACTCGGGAACATTACTTTATGAGGCAGTTCGTAGTTGACAGGTAGAATCATAAAGTCAGAGGTTATCTCTAGAATGCTGTGACTTACAGTGTCAACCAACAGTCTGTTGCACTCTGCATTAAATTGATTTGTGCAATTGGCAATGTGCACAAGTCTGTATGCAGTCTATCTAGCCTTTCTCTCCAGAAAAATGTGGAGAGGAGGTAGATCTATAAGGATCTCCATGGCCACTGACGGTGTGGTACTGATGGCCAGACAAGCCTGTCTCTGTAAGCCAAAGAGCTTCGCCTGGGCCGTTTCCTAAACGGCAGACTAACAAACCTGAAAAATATCTCTGACACATACTCGTAGATGATTATAACTTAATATAATGAATTTCGGCCTACATCATGTTATATGTCACGTCAGTATCGTACATTTAGTTTGGATGACAATGCATAACGTCATAAATAACGTCATTCTATAGACAATATTGTCGGTCAGCCAAGAAAGCGGATTAGTTACTTTTCATGCACTTCCATGATATGGGTATCAAATGAAAGAGTTTTCTGAAAATAATATGAAAAATATAACGTCACTCTAAATTTAATATGGCGGACCATCCCAGATGACGGACTAGTTATTTGTTATGTATTTCCATGATATAGTTGTTGAATGAAAGAGTTTTCTGAAAAAAATATGGAAAATAAAATAACGTCACTATGAAATTCAATATGGCGAACCCCCAAAGATTGTGAACTGAATTTTATGCATCTTCCCAGCAAACACACTTGTTACATTTACGTAAATATGACATAAAATTAACGAAACATGTTCATTTAATACATATATGTAAATACTTACATTTCTAAGATAGTTTTACCCCATATTCAGATAAATAATTTATGTTAATATGTACAATATACCATTAGGTTTCTGTGGGAAAGGCTAGACTTTCTGAGACATTCTTATCACGTGATACGTTATGAGATTTGTGATTTTGTTGAGTATTTTTTACAAAAAAAAACAAGCAGAGTCTGGTCAGGAAGTTTTGGTTTGTGAAGGATGCTTTTTCCAGTTAATGATTCCAAGTTTTTCTGCGAGTGAATGTTATATTTGAAATAAGCGATAAAGAAAAAATATTGGCTCCTAAGTAAAATTCGACACTTGGAGATAGATTTTTACTTTATTTTTTATATTAAATCGGGGAGTGTAGCGGATTTTCATTATTTTGGTGAAAAACCAAACTCAAAATGTTCAATTGGCCAATCAATTCAATAACTCAGATGCCAGTTTACATTAAAATCTTGGAGTACAATATCTCATCACGAACTCAAACTTTAGGGCTACTTGTATGCCTTTCAAGTAGTCTGACTTTACTTCTTATATTTGGCAACGTTGAGACCATTTTAAGTAATTTTGAAAAAAGTTTAAATTAGATAGAATGGCAAAAAAGTTTCATATTCATAACGATATGATGGATGCAGAAAATTATGAAGTTTATAAAAGTATATTGATATACAGTGTATTCCATTCAAAAATCAGAATATGATGTTATTTCCGAAATAAACGGAAGAAACACAATGACATATTACTTTTAACGAAAAAATATTTAAAGGTATATCAATCTAGGACACATTCAAATTCGATAATTATTTATATTGGGTTATTGAAGTGTTTTATATCAATTATTTAAAGTATTGCGTTACTTCAATCAGTATTATTGTTCAGAACTCTACTAAAACACGCTAATATAACAATTTTTAATATCAAAATGTAAAAAGTTTATAACATAGTGTTGTTTTTTTTGATAAATACAATTGATGCATCACTTTATTTGGTGGTAGGTATTTGAGATTATCATATAAACCCGGTATTATAAGAAAAGTGAATTGATCCCATTATCATTCTTCATGAAAACAATCCTACAGAACAGATTTGATTCAAATTTAAATCGATATGTTTACTAGCTAATGCTTTTGCATTTCACTCTATACATAATACCAGAATTCTTGGTATAGTAGGAGAACTATAGATGCTAGGTTGTTTCAATAGTTCAGTCCGTTCAAATGTCATGTGTTTTTCTAGCTCCACTGCGACGTCGTGTATACCGATCGTTAAAAAATGATGTACTGTAATACAAAGATGCTGATCATTTTTTTCTAAATTTTAATTTTTTGCCACTTTTCACCTTATTACTATATGTCGTTGGGCGATTTCCAGCCAATTTTTCTATACGAATTCGGATTGAACCAAAGCGCTGCCGAAGAAGCCCGATAAATTATATTCTGGGTCACAAGATACTTTTTTGGAACTTCTGTCCAAGGGCTCATTCGATTAGGAATGACCTCTAGCAACTTTTTGAAAAATTTAAAGAGGGGCTCGAAAAAATTGCTGTCTTCACTTTCATATTTCACTCAGGCTATTATCAACTTTGACATGTTGTGTCAGTCCTATGTGATAGATATTCCTCCAAAATATTGTATGTTGGGATACGTATACCATACCCATGTAATTGTTTTGATAGCATGCCGTGATAAACGGTTTCAAGTGCCTTAGCTAGGTCCAGCTGCACCGCAAGGTAAAACATCATCTTTTGTGAAAAATTCAAGGCATTTCGTTAAATTATTAGGAGAAATCGAAGTCAAAGAGCAGAATCAACTGATCAGTTCAACGTGGAAAGCCTCTACACTAACGTTCCTGTCGAAGAAGCACTTCAAATCATACAGAAGAAGCTATCTGAAAATAAGGACCTGAAAGAGAACAAACTTACCGATACAAGTAATCATGGAATTACTAGGATGCTGTGTACGAAACTGCTATTTCCAACTGAAAGACGAATACTTTACGCAAGATGAGGGATTGTCAATGGGATCCCCACTTTCACCGGTTATAGCTAATACATATATGGAGTGGTTTGATACTTTGGCCATTGAAGAAGCCCACAAGAAGCCCCGAGTCTGGTTGAGATACGTAGACGACACCTTCATAATATGGAACCATGGGAATGCAGAACTGGACACTTTCCTGAAGCATATCAACAACGTAAGTCCTTCCATCACTTTCACAATGGAGAAGGAAGTTCACAACGAATTGTCTTTCTTAGACGTATTGGTGAAGAGGACCGACACTAAATGGGAAACATCTGTATATGGAAAACCCACTCACACAGGACAGTATCTGAACCAGAAATCCAACCACCATCAATCGACTAAGATAGGAATCATCAAGACTTTTCTGGACCGTTCTTTCGGGCTCTGTAATACAAAGGAAGGTTTCGAAAAAGAACTAGGCATCATCAAAAATGTCCTTCTTCAACGGAATGGTTACTCCAGAGTGATGGTAGAATGGGCTTCAGCTAGAAGACAGCAAGAGCTCCACAAGGAAGAGAAGCCGCCACAACCAGTACTTGTACTTCCCTACATCAGAGGATTATCGGAAAGGATAAGAAGCATTGGGTCCAAGTAACATCAGGACCTGCTTCAGATCTGGGAACGCTATCCGTAGCAGCCTCACAAAAACCAGGCCTCCAAACACGGACTGCGATTCCAAGAATTGCATTTACGGGATACCCTGCGAGTGCGGATAATCATACATCGGTGAAACTGAGAGGCCATTAAAAGTTCGCATTGCACAAAAAACATACACAGCGAGGAGAAACCAGCAAATCCGGAATAGCAGAGCATGTTTGGACTATCAACATAATATCAAGTGGGATCAAGCTGAAATCATCCACAAAGAGGAACATTGGTTTAGGAGAAAATTCAAAGAAGCCGCGTATATGTTGTCCAACAACGCATTTTGTCAAGCTAGCGTAGAGATACGTAACATATGGAAACCTCTAATCAAGTGAAAAACGACCAAACCCCGCCAAACGGTCATCTTCCGCTAAAACCAATAAAGCGAGGAGGGGAAAGAGGGGATAGGTGAAAGCACTCGAATCACCTATAAATAGTCAGATCTCACAGGGGAATAAGTCCAGTTATCACCCAAAGACGATTGTGGATACTAACAATCGAAACGTCGTGACGTAACTTGGTTTGGAATATTTTAATATTTATTTTTCATTTTTTGTTAAAAATATTTTTTAATTTCCAGCTTTTATTATTATTTCAATTTTTCATTTTTTTATTGTTGCTTGTATGTTATTTCTTTGTAATTTCAGTTTTTTGTTTAATAAAATTGTTATTTTCGGTTAATATTCTTATTTTTTTTTCAGGGATTTCAAATCAATTTATATTATATTAGACAATGGAAGTCCGAACTGATGAAATACTCTAGAAATATAGCTAAACATTTTTCTAATCCGTTCAAGGCTCCAATTATTTTTTGTACAAAATCTAGCATTGTTTTTTCGGTATTGGAGTTGCTAAAGAAACCGAATTGTCTGTCTGTTGGTATTTTTTGCAATGAGATAATTCATAAGTCTACGCACTGTTCGAAGTAGGTAGGCGATTTTCGGTCCGGAGATTTAAACCTCGAAGATGAACCCCGAAATGGTGACTCTGGTGGAAATTGACCCATCACAAATGGTGCGTGGGATGGCGGAAAAACTGGGCATCAGCTCCCATGCGGTTTTTGATGGTTTAAAACGTATTGAAAAGGTCAAGGAATTCGAAAGTGGGTGCCCCACGATTTAAACGATCGACAGTCACGGTTCAAGGAATGTTCTATATTTTTGCGCAACCAAAAAGATCCTTTATAAATCGGATTTTCCCGTGATTATAATGAAAAGTAGGTCCTCTACGACATCAGAAGACGTTCAGAACAGTGGTTGGACACCGATGAGCCACCTAGGCACTTCCCACAGGTGAAAACCCACTAAGAAAAGACCATGGTTACTGTATGGTGGTCAGCGGCTGGTGTGATTTACTATAACTTTCTGCAACCGGGCCAAACCATCACAACAGAGTCCTATTGTGCGTCAGCAGCAGCCGACACAGGTCAATAGAAAAGGTCAGATCCTACTCTACGACAACGCCCGTCCTCAGGTTTCACAAATCAACCGACTACCACCTTTCCAAGCACTTCGATAACTTTCTCACCAGTAGAACCTTCGCTAATCAGGACCAGCACACAATTTTTATGCTGACGGAATTACTCGACATGTGTTACGTTGGCAAAAGTGCACCGATTCAAATGGCGCTCATTTCGAATTAATTGAACAATAATTCACTGAGATATTACAGTTTAAAGTAAACTCATAAAAACAGACAAAACTTTCAAAACGACCTTTCGCTTAATGTAACTTACGCCCAAGAAATACATCTCCAAACTGCTGTTTGTTTTTTAAATGTTTTCCATTCAAAAACCTTGGTTTCGGTTTACAATGAGTGACAAAACAAGGAGCATCGGGATGCCTGAACTCCCACATCGCTTGCCAAATTTTCAACCCATTCTCCAGTCGAAAGTTTTGGAAATCTGACTCTTTCAAGTTATGGCAAATGGGTGCAAACAGGTAGATAAACAGCTGAAATCAATACGGTGAAACCGGAATAATATTATTCAATTTACATACTGTCAACGTTGGGATCGAAAATAGATAGTAAAAGGGAGAGGTGTGGTAAACTCCTCTTTCAAAATCTTCGTCTGCGCATTCGTCTACTGCGTCCAATATTATCCAGTGCAATGTGTATAGTAATTTGGTTTCCACAGCTCCCAGACTTTGGATATTTCCATCTTTCATTCTGAAAATCAAGAAAATAATGGCATTTTTGGATCAGAAATATTGCGAAATAGTCCTCAACAGAGATTTATTGAAAAACCAAGCTACAGCATCAACCACCAAAAACGGATATCGCTTTCCGGTTTACTACAGCGCTCATTTCAAGCAATGAACTAAATGAAAATAGATGACGAATGTTCCAACGTGATGAACTCTAAGGATTGTCCTTCAAGGATGCACTCGTGATCCAGCTGTCAACCACTAATATATGATCTATGATTACAACTGGATCACAATTGCAACTGAGTGAAGAAAGTATGTCACTGGGAAGGGAAGGGAAGGGAAGGGAAGGGAAGGGAAGGGAAGGGAAAAAGTAATACTTTATCTTTAGTATACTTTAAAGGTATACTAAAGGTATACTAAAGATGTGCCATAAGTAACCATTTCATTCGAGTTGGAATATGCTGAATTTGACATGTTTTGGCTCTTGTTTTCTCTACAAGAAGAAAAAATAAGTGATAAATAATGTTAAATAGGTATATACGGTTTCAAACAGTTTATGATATATGTATATTTTTATTGTCACAGGATGTATACCTGTTGTATAAAATTGATGCTACTGCATGCATTACATGAGGTAAGGAAGCTTGAATCAGTCGCCATCTTGGAATCGATTTTATCGCCTCTGTTAAATCCGGTTTCAACCCTGTTTGTATGTTTTGAACCAATACCTTCTCGAAGGATTTGCAAGCTTCTTTCAATTCCTAAAATCAGTAGTATTTGGATTCGAAGAATTGAATGTTTTTATTAAAAACGTATACTCACATGATGGCCAGTCATCGCATGTTGGCAGAACTGAAATTTCAAAAAATTAGTTAAAAATATATGAAAAGTAGGAGACGTACCATGCATGATGCTTCGTGGAGCTTCCCCAATTTGGGCCTAACAAATGGGCTGGAAAAAAGATAATCTTCTATGAACCAAACTCATAGGTGAAACACATATTAAAAAGTGAAAGTGATAGTGTAATAGCTCACCCCACTTGTTTCCACAAAAATATCTGAATAGGAATCGGCAAAGCATTGTCAGCTAAGTTTATCTCAGCAGAGTTTCTTCTGTCTGTTTCTGGCATGGCGTTTTTCTGCTCTTCAACTCTGCAATAAACACTTGATATTAATAATAAGATAGTACGTGTTATTATTGGCCTTCCCAAAACACGGAGCTGATGACCGTAGCATCAAAAAAATACTACCTAAAGTGAAAAGTGTTTCATTTTTATCAAGGAAAGGTCCGAATATAATTTAATCTATCATAATCCAAAATAATACAGGAGATAACTATTGCAAAGATCATTCAGTAAAATATTTAATTTCAGTAGAAATAGCAAAAGCTATTAAATGAATCTAATTCTCTGGAACTTTTTTCCTGAAAAAAAATGAAAATGTAACTAGTATTTTTATTTTTACCAAAAAGGTTGTACCCTTCCACTAAAACGCAATGCGCCTTATAAATGTTTTTTTTCTGCCATATATTTTCAATCAGCTGGGTTAAACTATGTTATAAAAAAACTCATGAATTTCCTCTGAAATGTTACATAAATGCATACTTTGAATCATACATATCTGGTCTCATCAAGACCGGTGCTGATATATTGAACGCACTGCGCCACTTTACTTGTTTTCGTCAAACATGTCTCCTATTGGTTGTTTGGTTCTCACTAGTCAGTCATGTGTTTATCGCTCACTATTCTATTCTGTTGATAATATTCTTGTAGCCGCCATTAAAAATATTCGTGTTATTATTTTTTTTCGAATGAAAAAACCAAAACGAGTGTGTTTGAAGTATAATATATTTGAAAGTACCTAAACGAAAATTGATTCTATATTTTTACTCTGTTCTGTAATTTGGCCATAAATCGTTAGGGTCACTTGAGGTATAAGTTAGTTGTAAATAATAATAACTTCAACTAGAAACTTTTGATTGCGTTGATATGAAATTTTAGAATGTTATATTGAAATACAATGAAGTTCATGTTCATTCCATAGTGGAGTATCAGGAAAGCTGTTTTATAACTCAACCACAACACAATACCATCACAAATTCAATAATTTGAAAATAAAACAAATACAAATAATGATCCTATCGTTGAAAACTAACAAAAGCATAATGATAATAATTCTTGTTAATGTTTTTTCCACTTTCTGCAATTCATTAATATTTTTTCCTTGAAGATGATTTTAAAAAATCTCAAAGGTGTATTTGAAAGACATCTAACAGAATCATTCGAAGATATTTTGAAGATATCATTATTTTTAACAAAAGATATTTTCAAGACTTTTCGTAAATAGGTAACATCCTTGAGATTTATGTTAGTTCTTGAAGCACACATCTTCAGGGCAACTTCGTGGGAGATTTTTGGCAGAGTGAGGCAAGCCGGTATGATCTTTAGATTCGGAAGCAGGTAGGGCATCATTTCACCAAGGCATCCTTTAATGAGAACAACCATTTCAACACAGTTTCCTGCAACTGTCCATTCGACTAAGAAAACGTAATGTAGGTTAATTTGATGAGCCGAAGTCTCCAATATTTTTGTCTGATGCATCAGCTCTTTTTGTGGGCCTGTTGTTGAACGTTGACAGAGTTGTGATCACCTTATTCAGGGTCAAACACTTAACCAAATTCATTGGCCGCTCAAGAAGCTGTCTTATTTTAAGGCTCCCCCATTACCAAGGGATCAAGTAGTAGAAGTGAGTTCCAATGGAGGCAGTCTCTCAGTTGATCTGTCAGTCTGGTGTGTTTTCTGGACAAATCTGGAATACCTACTTTCATTTTTGAATTCTTCTAGGTACTGACGTGTTTGTGACTTCAAGCTGATAGAATCACCATTGGGAGTGTCTCATATTTAGTTCATTATTGTGGATTGTTGTTATCACCCCTGAAAGGGAGTTTCTACTCGCTTCTTCATCAAAGGTATTTCAAGTTACTACATTTTCTTGTAGTGAATCATTGTTTTTCTCCTAGATTCTGGAGCAATTGAAGGTTTTGATATGACAATATTCTTCCTCTGTGTGTCGATTTTCACCCTTAGAGTGCTCTAGTAGATCTTGGCGGATCACTTGCATTGTCTCCAAATTTGCCTAATTTCCCCTACTTCGTCCCAATCGTTGTTTCTCGAATTCCATAAATTCTCAGAAAATAAGTAAAAATACCATCTCTACATTAACGATCTTCAAAATCACCAATTTCCTCAAATATATCAGCTGGGAATTTTACTTCATTGTACACCATTTTTATATTGTTCAACAAATAAGGTGGAGGTACTTATTATCAGCCCCTCAAGAGGTATCTATCTTCAGAATAAACCTTAATTAAAAATTAAAATGAGGAATATAAAAAATCATAGCTTTCCACGTCTCCATCTTTATACAAAGATTCATAGAAGTTATTTTCAAATACAAACTGGAAAAAAAACCCTCCCGACACAACTACCTCCAAATAAACATTGAATTACCTACACGAAAGAATAAAAAGTGCTTTCTATATGAATAGTGAATTATACGAATTGTACTCCATACATTTGTACAAACTGAATAACAAAAATTAATTTTCATATAAAATAATCGAAGCAGTTGTAGATAAAGTAGATAAAAAATTTGTAGTTTTGAATGCTAGAAGGGACTGGTCTTGTCAAAGTACTTTCTATATGAATAGTGAATTATACGAATTGTACTCCATACATTTGTACAAACTGAATAACAAAAATTAATTTTCATATAAAATAATCAAAGCAGTTGTAGATAAAGTAGATAAAAAATTTGTAGTTTTGAATGCTAGAAGGGACTGGTCTTGTCAAATTTTTATTATATCTTATATCGACTAATATAAGAACTTTGCCGAAAACGGAGGCACTTCACTGATTTTTTTTTAGTGCATAACCTCTGATACATACATAGTCCTTTTTAATGAAATGAATGTAAGTCCAAAAATGTCTACAATCGGACCGAATAACATTTTCTAATCTAATCAGAATAAAATTATATCAACCTGTGGTCTACTCCTTGCACTCAACAATGAAATGAACCAAAATTGGAAAATACATAAATTTGGAAAGATTTATTTCGGAAATTTTATTTCATGAATGAGACATGACACACAATTTAATAAAAGTTTTATATTCTCCTTATTGGATAAAATGAGCGTACCTAAAATAAATAAATACTATAATTACCGTTAATAAAATATACATTCAACCACGTGAACATGGAAATTGTTATATATTCAATTGAATAAATTAAAAATTATTTGATAAAATCAAAACAACACTTTCTATACTGAACCTCTCGTCATTTTGATGAAGTGTTGAATCTAGAAATACATACAATCTTCATTTGGTCTAATATTCAACTGTGTAAAGTTTTCAAAAGTTATTTTCCAGCTCTACAGGAACATAGTCAAAAATTGTCAAAAACTTATAAAAAATTTTAAATTCTGAATCCACAAAAAAATATAATTGTTTCAATATTTGTATATACGCGGTAGCACGTTTTTTTGCGTAGAACTGTAGAATTAATATTCTCACGTTATTACATCCACATTTTCCCAGAGTTCCCGGAGTCTGTGGGCGGGATGAAAATGTGTCCTTGTATTGATTGATCCAGTTTGCGCAGATTCCAGGCAGAATGGCTTTCCAGAGGGATTTTCCTTCCTATTATTTTCCTTATACCTTTACTCAGCTACCCTTTTATGTATTCGGTTCTCTTGCGAATGCATCAGAATAAACACTTCTTTTCATTTCTTCATTATTTGAGATCACAAACGTGAATCCATCGGTTTGATTGTATTTTTATTTCCCAAAAAGTCTATAATATGAATGGAGTTTCCTTTTTCTTTTCCTAATGACCATTTTTTAACTAGAAATACTTGCTTATTTACAATTCAATTTCAAAATAGCCGCCAAGAAAACAACTGTTGGATTAGGAAACCAGTCACTTGCAAGGGCAAATATCTGTTAACCGCGTTGCCAGGCATACGATAATTTGTATTTCATGGGATAATTTTTGACTCTAAGAAACATATGACAGTACTTTTCATGTAATGCATGAATTATCAATCATAGAAAAATGAAATTGAAACCATCAGTTAATTTATATTCTGAAAGTTACATTACTCAGGGAGATCTAGGAAGATTAGGATGAAGATCATGTCAACTTAAATTCAAGAAATTTTTATTCTGTCAAATCTTATTTCAAATAACAGCAGATATCCCAGAATATCCGATTCACGTCCAATTCAGGTCGGTATAACCCTGAATATGAAATAGACATGGCATGTTTGGAATCAATATCATTCTGAAAATTATCCTATGGACATCCATAGAAGTTCAGTTCGATTCACCCTATAATTTTCCAAGAATTATTATGATTGAAGAAATTTGTTACTAATTAATAAATCTAATGTCAAAACTATATTTTTCAACGAATATAATCTGCAGTAACGTAAATCATAGATCATTTTCACACATGCAATGTTCTCAGAGAAAATTTTTCGGCAGTGCTTGTGTACATCTATAAAAATATATCACAACGTTCTTTCCTATTATTGAGCTTTGGTGATCTGACAATGCTGTCTACTGCTCACTGCTCTGATTGGACTATTTTAAAGTTGTCATATATCATATATTTATACCAAGGAGGGTAACCGATTTTTCATTTCCGTCAAATTCTTGGTTTTGGGCTTAGTGAATAGCTAGTTTGGAAACGATTTATCATATTTTATATTTCATTTCAAGTTTCAAATTCAACTTATAATTGTAAGTACAATGTCTATATAGTGGGTGTCTATATTTTGGTGTCTACTGCGCAATTTCAGTAAACTTTATTTTTTATGCCCATGAATTCTTTTGTCTGTAGAGGCCATTAAGAACGTGGGTATTACTAACACTTCTTGTTTTATCTTCCAGCACAATGGCAGACGAAAACAGAATCAGAAGTTTCAAAAACAAAGGAAAGGACACTGAGGTTAGTTTTCTAAAAAATTTAGACAAGGAACATAGGATTATTTGTCACTGAAATCCAGACCAAATTCTTTTGTGATCTCAAACAACTTACTATGGAACTTATATATATTTATTTCACGTTTCAAGGGAAAAAAATTTAAAAAAAAAAACATGATTATTTAATAGTTTTCCAATGATGACGAGCATGGTTTATCTGAGGACTGGTCAGCAAGGTCCATGTCATTAAATGTATCTACTTAACTCTACTTCACCAGGCAAAAGCTTTTCGCGAGATTCGTCATTACTGCATCGTCATAAAAGAGTTTTTTTTAAGATATAATGAATTGAATAATAAAAAGTAGTCAAGATACATTGTGCATGTTTGCTTTAGGAATATACATAATCAATCTAAGCTACATGTTTCTTAATTATAGTAATTTAATTTTTCATCTAGGAAATGAGGAGGAGACGTATCGGACAAAGTGTAGAGCTACGAAAAGCTCGAAAAGAGGACCAGCTGCTCAAACGTAGGAACATATCAACTGCAGAAGAACCAACTTCTCCGCTTCAAGAGAGCAACTCCACCTCACCTGTTACCATGAGTACTGAGGAAATCATGTATGGTATGTATTGAAAATTGATTCGATAACAATAAACCAAGTTTTCTTACTTGCCAATCTTCGCTCAAAACCATAAAGAATTTGAGTGTAAGAACTATTGAATCTTGATTGAAAATATTATTTGGGTACATTTTTATTTCTCATGAACCTTTTTCCTGAAGTACGAAAAATCACTCACTAGCAGCGCTAGTAGTTCGGTAGGGACAAACACTGCCTAATCCTCATATAAACATATAGTAAAGTACAAACAGCATTTTTTCCAAAACCCTTGAAGCAGTTCTGATACGAACTTTTTAGTATATCCTTGAGCCCTCTCAGCGATTCAGTTTTTATCTCCACAATTGTTGCAAAATGCCTTCCTTTTATGATTCTCTTGGGAACAGAAAACAGTCGCAGTGGGTCAAATCTGGTGAATACGGTGGCTGCGTACAGGATTTCGGTGTTGTTTTTGACCAAAAGATTATGAACAAGCAATGAGTAGTGAGCAGGTTTAAAAGTCATGAATGTTTTCCGCAATACCATAATAAATGAATATTTTTTGCGAAAAATGAAGATTCACTATATTTTTTGAACAGACCTTGTATTTAATAACTAGGTCTGCAATTAGTAGTAAGAAAAGTACTTGAGCTAGTACACTGGCTTGGGGAACGGTTGCTTCTAGCCTCACATTTTCAGAATGATTCAGGGGAGACCAGTCTAGTTCATAGTAAGTTTTTTGAATAAATTGACTTCCATCCAACAGATGGTGAGGTAAACCATTTCTCCTCTGTGCTGCTAATTCCTCCCAGTCATAACTTTTTGAACCTTCGAAAGGGACACAGGAATCTTAAGAGAGCCCTTTGGGTATTCATCCATTGTCAGTTCCATTGAGGCTTTTGTCATAAAAGTCAAATGTTCCCGTTTTACTAGATTTTCCAGTCCTAAAACGATTTTGTTTTTTAGGATGTAGATTAAATTTAATAATGAATGACCTGAGACTAACAGTACTTAAAATTCTTTGTGAAAAGAGATATATCCAATCCTGGCTTAAAGTTTCCAATTCACGATTTCTCTGTCCTCTTATAATTTATCGGAATGATTTTTACCGACTTCATAATGCACTACTCTCTGTTTCCAGAGAACAGATCATTACATGTACAGAAAGACTAACTGGTTCTTTTTCCAAACTCTCTCACAATGATGATGGGAATTTCCTAGGGGTCTGCTGACATTACTTTTCCCAGTGAAATTGAAGTTCTAAACTTGAAAATGGATTCTATTACCTTATTTGAAGCTATATAAAAAAGTTGTTGAAAATATTTGTGATTTCTTCAGAATTGCTATATATATATTTTCCCCGATATCTTCACATATATTTATATCTCAGAGTATATATATAAAATTCTATGTGATATTACTTTTATTTTTGAAAGCTGTTTTACTGAAGTATTGTTTTTAAAATTTTTTGACTAAATATGATGATTTTTTTTCAGTATATCATGTTTTCAATATGTATATCATGAGTATATCATCAGTATATCATGAGTTCAATATCAAAAGGTAAACTTGAAACCTCTGGTATAGAATAAATCCTCAACATGCACTTTTTCCAAACACCAGAACCAACCAACCAAGTGACTCTGGTTTTAGGGAATAGTGTTTGTTTTGGATGAGTTCAGCATGTTGTTTTTAAAGAATATATAGATCTTCCAACACTAGAGTTTGAAATCATCTGTCACACAGTTTCTTTTACCAAGATCATTTTTATGATTGTTATTAATAAAAGAACTCGTCAATGTATTGCCAATGTTTGGCTAACTCTCTTGTTAATTTGTCAAATTAACATAATTATTATTTTGTTTTCAGGAATGATGAATGGAGATGAGACTGTTCAGTTCCGGGCAACTCTTGCTTGTAGAAAGATTTTGAGTAGAGAACGAAACCCTCCAATCGATCATATGATTAGGTTAGGAGTTGTTCCAAAATGTGTCGAATTTTTGGGAAAAACTCACAAGTAAGTTCACCTTGATTAACCTCCTATGTTTTATGTGTCGAAAGTCCTGAAATAATTATATTCCTGTTTGCAAAGTGTTTTTTTTTTACTTTTCTAGGTTGATACAGTACAAATGTCATAAATGAGTTGAACTACACATATGTTGCTTTCTTCCTTCCTTTGGATGATTCCCACATTTTTTGGACTTTTTCATCAATAGGATTTTGTCTTCATAATGTGACCATAATTATAAAACTCCACAAGTCATTCAAAATTGACATAAACACTGTCCTAACCTCAATTTTCAATGGTTTCTCTAGTTCTGAATTTTGCCTTAAGAAAGTAAGCTCAAAATTGAATCGTCAACTAAAATCGTCACTAAATGCAATAATATTTGGTCATGAGTAGTCAGGAAAAGACAATCTAAATTTTGGTTTTTGTATCCCAAGTAGATACAATTTTATTCTTTTTTTCAAGTCCACCTCTTCAATTCGAAGCCTGCTGGGCCCTAACTAATATTGCTTCCGGTACATCGGAACAAACTGCTGCTGTGGTCCAGGAAGGAGCTGTGCCCAAACTTCAGTTGCTTCTTGCTTCTCCCAGAAATGATGTTGCAGAACAAGCGGTTTGGGCCTTGGGAAATATTGCAGGTGACGGTCCAGCCACCAGAGATTTGGTATTGAATTGCGGAGTGTTGCCTGATTTACTAAATTTAATCAAGCCCAACACATCTTTGTCCTTGCTCAGAAATACTGTTTGGGCCATATCAAATTTATGTAGAAACAAGGTTGGTAAAATATAGGTAGTGATTCATTTATTTCTCAAAATATGTAAGTGTCGTTCTTGTGTGTTCTGTGCTATGAAAACATTTTTGGCTGAATTGTAATTGTCACTTATATTTCTTTTTATTTTGTGAAATATGTCAACACGTTATCTAGCAGCTTTTGACAAGCTAACATTGTGATAGAACACTGGAAAATTAGTTTTCCATAGTATATTTTCCATGGTTGTGATGACTAAATCATAGCTGAGACTTTAATGTTAATAATACATAACTAAAAGGTAAAGCCGGAACCTCTGGCATTGAATAAATCCAAAATAAGCACTTTTACCATCAGCTTCACCAAAAATTTTGAAGTAGAAAGCAGAAATTTGATGGAGGGGTATAAAATTGAAAATTGAACAAATTTTTCCCGAGGCATTTTCTGAAATTTACAGAGGTGACCCAAAATGTTGGAATGTCTTTTGAAAATTTTACATTTGACATGTAGAGAATATCACATGACAACTAAGTGAGACTGACATTCATTTATTTTTCAAGTAAAAACTAACGTCAAAGTCAAATTTCAAAAAAATCTGCCGATAAAAAAATCTCACATAGTGCATACCTTGGTGTTATCACAGTATCAGTGAATAATACAACAATGATTTCTAATCAATTATAGGAAAGATATTACCACTCAAAAGAGAACTGTCATTATAGTTTAGGGTTTTCAGAAACTCTTCTGTTTATCGTCAAATCAGTTGGTTTTTCTTACTGTCTAATAAGTTGAATGAGAAATCATTTTTATTTTCTCCTAACGAATAAAAATTTTGCTAGAAAAAAACTTATATATGTATTATTCTATTACTTTTCAAGAATCCGTCGCCAGACTTCAATCTTGTCAAGCCTGCTCTTGCAGTATTAGCTCAACTCCTATACAGTGCAGACAGCGACGTTCAGGCCGACACATGCTGGGCTTTGAGCTACCTCACAGACGGTCCCAACGAAAAAATCCAAGCTGTTCTCGACACTGGTCTAGTGCACAGGCTAGTCGAATTGTTGAACAGTTCGGAAAGCTCCGTACTGACCCCTGCATTGAGGGCTGTTGGTAATATTGTTACTGGAAGTGACCAGCAGACCGACTTGGTCATTCAGGCGGGAGCCTTGAACTACATGGGTGGTTTGTTGAAGCATACTAGGTTGAACATTGTGAAGGAGGCAGCATGGACCGTTTCAAATATTACTGCTGGTGAGTATGTTGAAGATATATATCAGCTCATTCTTATAAATCATAATATAACAGTTTGGCTGAAAAGTTCATAGGCTAACATAGGAGAAACAAGTAGACTCCGCCTTTGTGGGCAGAGTCTACTTCGAACTGTACCACTTTTACCAACGTAAACTTGCATATTTTTCCCAATGTAAAACAAGTCGATTTATTCTGCCGGCATAAGAATTCGAACGGTGATATGTGAAACGTGTGAACCAGCCACAGACAACCATACAGTAACCATGGACTTTTTGGTGAATTTTCGTTTTTTGGGAAATTTCTGGGTGGCTCATCAATGTCCATCCAGTGTCATGAGCGTCTCCTGTTGTTGTAAATGATCCAAAAAGGGATTGTTTTGGTTGTGCAGAAGCAAAGGAGAAAAGACATCAAAAATTGCATGTCAACTGATGCCCAGTTCTTCCGCCATCCCATGCACCATTTGTAATGGGTCAGTCTCCACCATTGTCCTCATGCCCTGGATTTCTGTAGGTCGACCATTTTGCGGCTCATCTTCAAGGCTAAAATCTCCTGAACGAAATTGCGCAAACCAACATCGAACAGAGTGATAATAGTATCATTGCCAAATGCCTGTTTCATTTTTATTTATTTATTTATTCAACGGGTAACCCCCAATTTTTATACAATATATTAACCTTGGAAGTTAACTAATCTAGTATATATATATCTATACCAAGTAGAGTATATCTAAGAGTGCTCTGAGAGATGTGAAAAAAATCAATATTGGTCCCATTGGCATTCGATAGAATTCTGGACAAAGGAGAATGTTTTCTATTATTACACCTATGAAAGTCGAGACTGAAAGTTTGGTTTTTACGTATCCTTCTCGGAAGAACATGCAGATTGACTTTACAGAGAAGAGTTAAGCAATTAATTTCATTGTTCAACAATTTATGTAGGAATATTATGTCTGCATGTGTCCATCTTGTACTGAGTTTGAGCAATCCAATAGTAGAGTGAATTTCAAAGAGCGAATGACTTCTAGCTGGCATTTTCATTTGGTAGGCAACATATCTAAGACATTTATTCTGAACTTTCTCAATATCATAACTGTAGTTGAAGTACAATACAAGTGCAATACTCAATCACTGATATAACCAATGCAAAGTACAGTATTTTAATAGAAAAAATGTTGGTAAAATCTTTAGTTGATCTACATATGAATCCTAACGTTTTCATCGTTTTGTTAGAAATGTGTTCATACTGTAAATGAAAGTCCATCTTGTCATCCATCATAACACCCAGATCTCGTATAGATTGTACACGTTCCAATTTCTTCCCTGCAATACTATAACCAGCTGACTTTGAAAAAGAAATACTTTTATATTTTGCCACATATAATTCATCTTACACCAATCTAAAAAAGATTTAAGGTTCATTTGAATTTTCGCACAACCCTGCAATGAATCTATTGCTCTAAAAATGTTTAGATCGTCTGCAAACACCAGTGTTTCACAGTGAGTAATTTTTTCTTTGATATTATTTACAAAGATACTGAAGAGAAAAGGTCCCAAGTGACTCCCTTGAGGTACTCCTGAGGTAACAGATATCTCGTGAGAGATAAATCCTTTAATTTTCACAAACTGTGATCTATCACAAAGATAACTTGAGAACCAGTCCAACGAAATCCCAAAAAAGCCAATTGCCTTTAATTTTTCACAAAATTCACGATGTCAAATGTTTTTGAAAAATCGGTGTAAATTACGTCCACTTGTTGTTTATTTTCCACAGCATTCAAAATATACTGGGTGTACAACAGTAGATTAGTGTTGGTAGATTTACCTTCACTAAATCCGTGCTGTTCGTCGATAATCACTTGTTTTAAAGGAATCTTTATATTATCACAAACGATGTGACTTAAAAATTGGCGTATTTCGGCAGAGACTTGGTTCTTTTTTAATTTCTAGAGAAAAACTAGTTGAAAATTGCCTAACGACATTATATAGCAATGAACTGAAAAGAAGCAAAGAATTGAAATTTGAAAAAAAAGTCAACATCATCAACAGCATGTATAGAGTACAAAATTCTGTATTGATTAGTATATATTACGACACTGTGAAATAAATATTTATTGAGATATGGAGCTACAAAAACACATGACATTTAAACTGACTATACTCTTAAAACCACCAATTTTGTCAACATGTGTAATTAATATATTATTTCGATTAGATTTTTGTTTTCATTTGTTCAATTTCAGGAAACAGCGAACAAATCCAAAAAGTCCTTGATGCAGGCATCATGGCCCCTCTTCTGCATGTTCTTCAAACTGGCGATTTCAAGAGCCAAAAAGAGGCTGCATGGGCCGTTACAAACTACACTAGTGGCGGAACTATAGCTCAGCTAGCCAAACTAGTAGAAATGGGAGCTCTCAAACCGATGTGCAACCTTTTGAATTCCAAAGATTATAAGACTGTCGCTGTTGTACTGGATGGACTTACCAATATATTGAATGTGAGTATATACATTGAATGTTAAAAGAGTTTTGTTATTCATTTTTTTATTTGAAACGCTTGTATAATGTTTGTGAGAAGTTAATTTTTGAATACATTTCAATACTGAATCTGAATCTCTGCTCTAGGCTGCCAATAAAATGGGAGAAGTGGAGAAGGTGGCCATCATGATTGAGGAATGCGGAGGACTGGATGGAATTGAATCTCTGCAAACTCATGACAATGAAAAAATTTATGAAAAGGCTCTCAACATCATCGAAAATTTCTTCTCTGACGTAAGTAATATGAAACAATCATTATATTTTTACATTTCATATATTTCTGCCTATAACTTGCACTATAACAATGTAAAAGGTATTATTAGACATATCTGAAGAAGTTAGTGTATAGTGAAACACTTGTTTGCAGTTTTGTAAACTGGTCACATAAAAATTTCAGAATAGTCCAGACATTTATACTAGATGCACTTAAAAGTTTGTAGGCTAACAAATCCATATGATTTTCAGTTAACTAACCTTTAAAAGGCACATGTACAAATTTCACAGCTGTCAGACTATTAGTTTGTGGGATAAAACATTTTGAGTTTTGTTGATAAAGCATTGCTTTTTGGCGAAAAGAAGATACTGGTGAAGCGAAGGTTTGACTTGATAAACATAGTTCGGACTTTGTACCAAGATAGCTCAAGATAGCTGAAGCTCTAAAAGTATCAAAAACCGTATTGGAAATATTGTGCATGAATATTGGTATGTGAAAGCTCTGTTCAAAGTGAATGCCAGGCTACCTCACAATCGACCAAAAACAACAATGAAATAATGATTCTGAACAGTGTTTGAAGCTGTTCTACTATAAAAAACCTGAATTTATTCTCGATATGTGACAATGGATGTAGCATGGCTCTATTATTACGCACTAGAATCAAAAAGATCATCATCTGAGTGGACTGCAGTGGTGAACCGAATCCATAACGTTCAAAGACACAACAGTCGGCTGGCAAGCTTATGGAATCAGTATTTTGAGATGCACACGCATGGTGCAATATTCACTTACTATCTTGAGAAGGCAAAAATCGTAGGACCGTTTGAAGAACGAAATCGCGAAAAAACGGTCCCATTTGAAAAAAAGAAAGTGTTGTTTCTCATCAAGACAATGCAGCTTGTCACAAATCAGTGATAACGATGGTAAAATTGCATTAGTTGGGCTTCAAATTGTTTCCACATCCACTATATTCTCCAGATCTGGCCCCCAGGCAGATTTCCTGTTCTCTGGGCTTTCTTAAATTATTCATCAATATACAGGGTACCGAGTAGAAGCATATCATAAATCTAAGAGAAATATTTGTGATTTCCAAATTCACCACACTACATGTGTTTTGTACATATCCAAGCTTAACACTAAATGTCTTTACAGATATGCTGAAAATATAATTCCCTAGTTGTACTCATCTTTCTAAGTTATGATATTTACGACACAGGGCTATTTAGAAAGGTATCTTGCTTTTGAAAAAGCAAGATACCTTTCTAAATAGCCCTGTGGTTCAAATAAAATGACAAACTCTTTCTAAATCGAGAAACATTTTATGCGGCATTCGTTTGTAATAATTAAGTTAGAGATCCTATCTTCCAACTATCATATATCAGATTATATTCTGTCAAATTACTTTTGTAGAAAAGTTGGACCACATGGAAATTTTACTTTAGTGCTCCACCCTAGAAGCAGCAGATGCTGAGGGGCCCCGGTCGATGTCTTTCATATTGAAATACCACGTTTCAAGATAACCTGAAACATAACCAAAGTTTTCAATATTTGATATCTAACCTACACACTGATGAAGGTATGTCCAACTTAAACCAGCGCTCAGCTTGCACTATTGAGTTGAATCAACAGCCCCATAAAGGGGCAATTGGTACTTGCTGCAGGATCAGTGTGAACCATATCGGAGTCAAGTGCACTGAACGTGTTAAAGCAGTGATTTGTCATGACAAATCAATATAATTTGAGCTATGTGAGCTCCCCTACGAAAGACAACCATCAAAATTAGAAACTTGTAGTATGAGCTACGGATTAACGAGGTATTACCTTTTAATGTGCGATTCCTAACATGGGTTTTATTATAGGCAGTGAAAATCAATCGTCTGGCATGTGCAATCGAACCACAAACGCCCACCCAACCGGCTACCATTATGGCAATATCATTTGATTTAATTTTTTACACACATGATCGATATGAAGCTTCCAACACGGAGTTTTATCTTTATACATTCCTAGGAGTTTACTTGTATCTGAAAGTTGGGTGTTGTTGAGTTTTAGTGTATTTCTCAACGAAAAACACCTAAAACAACTGTTTTGTTTTCATTCTGCTATTTATAACATATAACATTAGAATAACCAGGTATTTTTACTAATACAACCCTAAGTTTTTATAAGGTGCACTTTATGTTCCTGTTCAAAATTTCAATTTAATGCAACAAGTAACGATTGAAATCAAGATGAGTTGGGGAAATAACGTAGGGCCTTGTGGAAGTGTCTTCAGACAATGAAAAAGAAACGGAATGACATCGGTGACTAGTATAACTGAACATGGAAATCACCACTGATTGGAGGAAACCTACTGGTTTGTGTGTCCCTTGACTTATATATGAGTTATGAGAAGTGATATGGGTTATGAGCAATTTTGAATTCAATTGAAACTAATTGAAGCATGAATGATAAAGTTTTGTCATTACAAAATTGTACTGTGATTTTGCTATTGAATATATGTCACGAGAAATTGCCCATAACCTTCTGAGAATTTGATGCTAACTGTAACATGGGAAGCAAAGGAAGGCAATATTTCAGCTATATAATGTTGAAAACATTCCGTTATATGTTATACATTTTTCATTCTAGTTTAATTTTGAAAATACATTATTAACTTTGCTTATCTTATTCAGTCAAACATCTTATATTTATATCAACTATTTTAGCTTGTGTAAGCAAATTAGGAATTGTAAACTCATGTTGCACAATAAATCCATTTTTCTACTAAATATTGCTTTAATGATTACCTTCTATCTCCTGCTCCTTTGCCTCCTATCCAAGCCTCTTATCCATCTTTTTCTCATTGACCACCTCAAAAAAGAATCCACATTCAATTTGAATGTTTTTCCCAATTCTTTATCTACTGTGTGAAAACAATAAACTTTCTACACAACAAAACCAAAAACACAATATTTTGCTGTTGTTAAATGTTATTAATTGATCATTATAATAACAATCTGTACTTCAACTTCATATTATTTAGTTGTTCCATATCTTAAAAGATTTGAGGACAGTTATACATCAGTCACGAAGTTGAAAATAGTAGATGTCTCTAGTGATGAATGAACTTAGAATATTCTCATCTTCCGACTATTGTTGGGGGTAGGGAATGAACTGTTTGCATTTCTTGATGTTTTGTCCCAAATGCTAATAAAAATCCTTCAATTTATCCATGACAACTACCTAGATATTCACTTGTTTCTTTCAAACAACAAATTTATGGACTATAAAAATTTTACTTGAATTTCAATTTATAATCCTCGAATCTGTGTCATCATCATTATTCACCATAATCAATTTAGTTTTACTCAAGTTGACCCTTTAGATTTTCATTGGAATGTTTAAAAAACTTCAATACTTGTTTGGCTATAAGATAGCTTCCTCAAGCATTTTCATATGAAATAAATAGCTTTCTCAAGCGTTTTTGTAGAAGACATTTGAGAAAACTATTATTTAAAAATCTGTTTAAAATCTGTTTCTCCGTTAACCAGCTGTCGCACCCCTACGAACGACAACCCTCAGAACTCGAAACTTGTGCGAACTGAGGATTAACGAGGTCTTACCTTTTAACGTGTGATTCCTAACGAAACACGTGTTGCGGCTTTGTAAACTTCCAGTAAAAATCTCATGATAAAGTTTTACTTGAGTATGTTATGAATTTTCATCAATTACAATTCCATCACATACAATTTAGTTTTCGCGGACTGGATTTAGTTTATTGTCCTAAGAAAACAAGTTCCTGTTGCCAAACTTGTTCGAGCCATGTTGTGAAATAGTATAAAAGTAGTAGCTAAAATCTTATCTATATGAGATAGAATGTCAAATAAATTATTACAGAACAAATGGGTACTATACAAATTGAATTTTCTTTAAAAAAAATCCTTAAGACAATGACAAATATTAAAATTGAGACAAAAACTTGAGAGAAGGAGACAAACAAAATCGTAAATAATTGATGTTTAAGGTCTCATAGGGGTTTTTGAAAAATTTATGTTAATAAGAAAACAATAAATTTAATGAAATGAGTATACAAAATTTTCTTGCAGTATTGAAAATTTGTTATCTTCACTTATTGAGAAAACCTGTCATTATTTAGTTATAACAAGTTTTATTGTTACTCATCATTGTACAAAATGACATCCATACAGAGCCAATATTTTGTTTTCATTGATATAATTGTCATATTTTTCAGGCTGGAATGGATGACAACATGCCTACTCCTTCATCAGCAGATGGACAGATCCAGTTTGCAGCTCCAACGCAAGTGCCTAACGGAGGATTTTCATTTTAAATTGATTTTTCTTTCTTTGTGTCATTCTGGCATTCCAGCATATAATAACCCTGATTAGTGAGAACAGAATATCAATCTAGTTTTTAAATATTTTCTACTTTTATATTTATCAAAGTTCGTATTGTATTTAGCCATAATTTGTAACTTGAGTTGTAGAGTAGCAGCTTCGATTTGTATCATTAGTTTTGTTGTTTTTTCCAATTATTACTATTTGTGTATATTCTCTGAATCACGTCTCAAATTTTTGTACTGTATTTTATCTTCAATTCCACAATGAAGGTGGGTCCCCAGGCAAAAAAGGGAAACGCTGGTTTAGTGAAAATCTCGCAGTGTTTCTTGATTCCATGACACATAAAAACAAAGGTATTTTATTATTTAACCATTCATAGATATTATTTCTCAAATAGAAATCCTTTTGTTGAGACGAAGAATAAGTTCCAACAGATTTTTTTTCAATTACGTTCTTTAAAGTTGATATTGATATAATTGGTCGATAATTTTCTACATCACTTTTGTCTCTACAGTTGAAAATTGACCTCATTAACTCACCTCTGAATAATTTCGGAAATATTTGTGTATTTCTCATGGATTTGTAATATGTTATTACAATGTTATTTAATGCCAGACATTAAATCACTTAGGGTTTCCAAAACTCAAGTATGGTTTCATTGGTTTTTTCATCCTTTACCTAAACAGTTTTTCGGCAAAACTATTCCCCTCTACTGAAATTATTTATAAATTCATTAGATATAATTCTTTCATTAATGAATTAGTATTATCAAACCGAAGTCAAAAAATATCTATTATTGTTTCTTTTAAATCCTAAAACTAGTTGGTGCTGCGAAACTGAAATTCAAGAATCCTAGAATTGCATGACTATCTGTAGGGAAACTATATCTCCTCCATAGATGGTAAAAAACAGGGAAGTCGGTGAAAATGGATCCTGTTCATAAATTAAGACATTTTTTTCAGTATATAAATTTATCCATCATTTCCTTCAAAATAGATTTTAGTTTAGCTCCAAAGTATTGTTTTAAACAGATGAAAATACTTTATGGAAACTAATCAGTGAATTTGTTTTTCTTCAAGGAGTAATGAATAGATTAATTGAGAAGACCTCCATTCAAAACAGTGCGAGAAAGATTCCTCATAACTACCCCAATATTTTCTATGCAATTATTCAATTGGAACAAGCTGCCTATCAATTATTTGAACACTAATTGGAATTGTAAAAACTGACCTTCGATTTAAATACTCAATTGTAACAATTTTTCTGTTCTTTTTGTTATGTTTGAATGACTGTGTTTCGATTATTAAATAATTTGTTTTCACCATTTATTGTTCATCTTCCCAAATTTCAACCAACAAACTTAATGGTGAAAGGAAACATGAAAATTTTCGTCAAAAACTCAAGATGTCTCAAATGTTTCTTTAACCTAAGTATGACTGGTTCGTTAGCAGGAGCATTTTTCTTATTCCCAACTTTTTACTTTCCCTTTTTTGTAAAAGATTGTATCGGTGTAATGGTCTATCCCTTACTGACACTTTTCAATCTTGCACTTAAAAATAATAATTTTCCTGAATTATGGAAGATATCACGAGTTTGTCCCATTTTTAAGTCTGGAGATCCATCTGATATTCGGAATTATCGTCCTATCTCAATCCAATCGAACTTTGCAAAATTTCTCGAAATTGTCATCTACAATCGCCTACATTCCTCAGTTCGTAATATCATATCCCCGCAACAACATGGATTTATGTCAAACAGATCCACCATAACAAATTTAATTGTATTGACCTAAAATATTAGTGATGTCTTAGATAATCGTGGTCAAGTTGATGTGATATATACTGATTTTGTTAAAGCATTTGATCGACTTGATTCTTCTACAAAAACTCCACCAATTTGGTTTCCATAATTCTGCAGTACTTTTCATTATATCCTACTTACTTCAACGCGAACAGTTTGTATCTTATAACGGCTATGATTCTTTTTATTACAATCCGTCATCTGGAGTACCTCAGGGGTCGAATCTCGGACCACTTCTGTTCTTATTATTTATTAATGACCTCAGTAATTATGTCCATTGTAATAAGTTATTTTTTGCAGATGATTTGAAAATATATTTACCTGTCGAAAATGTTAAGACTGTAATAAATTGCAATGACAGAAAGTATACAGACTAGGTGTGAAGTAAACAAACTATATCTCAATGCACCCAAATGTAAAGTAGTGTCTTATAGTAGAAAAATGTCAGTCATCGAGTACAATTATCGAGTAGATACCATTTCATATATTTTGATCAAAATTTGTCTGTCAATTGTAGATCTTTTTCAAACATATCTGCTCTATTGACTCTTTATGTAGCCTACGTAAGGTCAAAATTAGAATATGGCTCTGTTCTATGGTCTCCATTCTACAATTGCTATAATACAATAATTGGAAAAGTTCAACGTCGTTTCCTGAAGTTTATTTACTTCAAATGTTATGGTATCTATCCTAATAGAGGTATTCCATATGAATCTCTTACCATAACATTCAATATTGAAAGTCTTGAATTACACAGAAAACTTGCTGGAATAATTTTTCTGTATAACAATGTGGATGCTATGGAGGTGTTATCTTTTATAACTTTCTGTGTCTCTCATTTCAGAACTAAAAGTATAAAAACTTTTTACAGCCGACTGGCCAGAACTAATTTGTATCTCAAGTCACCTATCTTTAGCATTTGCAATAATTTCAATTTGATTTCAAATTTGTGTGATATCAATTATGATTCCTTAGAATATATTGTTTATACTGCATCTCAGTATTTCATGGAGAATTTTTAATTTTCTGGTATAGTTTTTGTTCTATTTTAGTATTCATTCATTTTCTCAAATTGTAACTTTGTAATTATAAGGATCGATATAATTTTTTTAACATACTATTTTTAAACAGGAACCGGAAGAACAGGTGCATCAGGCTTCACTGTCTTCACCTCGCTGCTGGGGTATAAAGGTAAAACCTCATCCTTAGGTTCAGCAACAGAAATGTTGTCGGGCAAAGGTTTCTTGGGACCAATTTTGCCTGTGGCATCATAAGGCAACATGATCTTAACTTTTATTCCCAGCACTCCCTGTCGCAGCAATACGTGGCGGGTGGCAGTGTCTACATAGTCATTGCATGGATCTCCTGAATGAATCATGAGACCATCTACGAATTTCATAGATTTTGCTCTCTGACCACGTAGTTTTCCAGATACAACTACTTCACACCCTGAAAGAATAAATATATTTAAGATATCACATGTATTAAATCATTCTTATAAAATAAAAAGTCACAGTAGAAATCAATAAATTCATCTGCTTGTTGGCACAAATTAGGTACTTTATTGTGAGATTTTCACGAAACAATTTAACAAAAACACGTGTTTCGCCATACAATGGCGTTTAGTGAAAATCTTACAGTGTTTTTTTTAATACGATAATTAAAAGGATTTACATCAATTATTGGCCAATTCCACCATATACTTTGCCAAATAGTTTTAAAATACTGAGATCTGTAGTTAATTTTATTTTATTATGTCTTGTGATTATTGATATTAATGAAATTTATGCAACAGTATAAAGAATAGACAACTGCCAGACCCTAAGAAATGCAACATGTATTCATAAATTTAGCTTAGAAATTGAATAATTATTGTGTAAATAGAATTTATATAATTGATATAATTGACTTTCAAGCAATCTCTTTCCTTTCTCAAAATCTGGAAAATAATTTATGAAAAGCACCATGAAATAGGGAATTTCAAATTGAGTAACTTTTGATCAATAACTTTCTAGATTTTGCAAATAGAAAAAAATTCACTTCCGAAACGATAACTATCTTTTTCCACAAATTCCGAGGTGAAGTTTTGAATTGCCGCTGTAACAATTGAGGATATAATCTGTTGACCAGAAGAACATCAAGAAACACAGGGTAGATTATTATTGTTTCTCTTGTAAGTAATTTTAGGTGTGTTCATTTACTCTGTGTATTTTAAAAACCATATATTTTATGTACCATGACATTGACTGTATACATGTAATCGGGTGTAAACCTGTTAGGAATGCAGTTTAAATAAAATCTATCTATCTATTTTAGGACACTTTCCAACTCTATACATTCTGTACTTCTATATTACTTGATGGAGTATACTTCTTCACATGCCTATATATCAGCAGACTAATGATCAGAAGAATAAAGAAATATTTTGGTATACAGAATAAAATCTCAGCTGTATTTCTTGGATCAAGTAGCGTTAGTATTTGTTGATTACTTTCATAATATATAATGGCAGTGCTTCCCGAAATAAGATTTACATTAACATAAAAAAAAGTACTTATCAACTTCGAAAGGTGAGTTCGAAAAAGCAGATCATCAGTAGATATTACAGTACTTATTTCTTTCATCTATACATTTACTAATTTCACCCATCCAAATCAATGCATCGCATTCAAACATTCAACAGGCCAATTTAGTTACCTTTAGCTCCACATTCCATGATATACCTCAAGACACCATAGCATGCTCTTCTTACAGCAAGACCTCCAATAAGCTTGAACCTCAAGGATTCTGCCTGGGCGATAGCACACAAACCACGGTTTGCTACTTTTTCTCCGTACAAAACAACGGAGTTCTCGGGGAAACGGAATCTCTTTTGCACAACTGAAGTTAACTCGCGGATTCTTCTGTTCTTCTCGCCCAAGACTCTGTCTGTTCTCGTTGCCATAATGATAATTTCAGTACGCGTTGGGGTAACACGTACTTCCACTCCAGAATATCCATCTTCGGAAAGTTCCCGAGTCAGAAATTCATTCAATTCAGCCTTAAAGACTCCATCGGCTACGAATTTGCGCTTCTTTGAAATATTCGTTGCCATTTTGAACGGGGTTCCAGCAGCAAAGGAAGAGACACGAGGTGAACACAAATTAGTAACTTAAACAATTGATGGCAGCACTGCGTTTAGTGTGTTTCCGCTACTTTCCGTTGTCAATTTACAATGTTGCCAAGTTACAGAGAATGTAAAAAGGTGATTTGAGATGTTCCAAATCTCGAGGCGTTTTCTGACGCTCATGTATTCAATACGTATTCATCTGTGATTCAAATACATTTATTCTAGCGTTGAATCGATTACGTCACATCAAGTATGATTTAAAACGTATTCATGATGATTCAAAAGTTGCGTGAGGTTGGTTTTGAAACAAAATTTGACGTTATGTTACGTCAGTTGTCAGTTTCTGCTTCATTTTGATCGTTATAGTTTATGAAGTGCTGAATTTTTTTTTATTAAATATGGCTCACCGATAAGCCATCAAGATGAATATACCTCTGAAGGAGCCAGCCACTCGTGCTGGCGAAACGTTAAGATACAGTTCCAAACCACGACGGCCTTCAAACCCGAACGAAGGTTGTAACCCTGAAAATATTGGCCGCGAAAGCCTTAATTAATTTATCAGAAATAAACAGTTATCAACCGAAGTCGATTGAGGATAGTAATAATCGAAACGTCGTGAAGGAGTTTGATCTGAAATATTCATTCCTATTTTTTGGCATCTGTTTTTATCACTCATCTCTATTACTTCATCTCAATTTTTATAGTTTACAATGAAACAATTCGTGGACACATCACGAATGTGAAAAAAGGGGACCAAAAGCCAGAAACACGTGTCCGCGGTTTACCCCCCTTTTTTGGAGTGTTGTGTCCACGAATTGTTTCATTTTTGATTTGTATCATGCACACTCGACAAAATCTCTCTCTCTCTCTAGATTTGTACTTACATAACTCGAGGACGAAGTTGTGATCTTCCTTGTCCCCAAGTCTTGTTACTAGTCCTATGTTTGCTGTGTTCCACTCGAAGTTCGTACGAACTGGTTCTCAGTTTGTACTGTATCGGATCGTTCAAAATCAGTGAGTCAGTTATGGACTGAAAAGGTTAACGAGACAAAATGTTCAGTATTCAGTTGGGCACCGTATAGCAATAAACGGTGAGTTCTTTGACTATTTTCTGACTGTTAAGAATAATCCCGGCAGAGAACCAGAACAAGCCTAAAGTGGTATATACAAACACTCCTACTAATCCTAATCAGCCTTCAACGTATTGAGGCTTTGGTTATCAAGTTTTTCAAAATAGTTCAACTTTGTGAGACAGCGTAATATAGGCCATTCCAAGATACCGCTCCTGTCAATTCTCCATCCAGGAAATTCTTCGTTCAAGAATTGGCTACATTTTGTGTTCTATCTTTCTGATGGAACATCAATTTGTTTCATGTGGGGTTATCATTTTCTAGTATATACTTCCAGTTCAGCATCTGCAGGAGAAAGTTTGAGATCCACAACAGTATCTCGTTCGGCACAATAGAACGATATTGTTGTTGTCGCTTTTAGTTTTAAAAATTGCGCTCAGTTTCTCAAAACGCTCACATCGACCCACCTCTTGAGATGGGTTGTCGTGATCTAGGCGCGAGCATAAGTAATGACGTCATTAATGACATTTTCGCCGCGACCACAACGATCGCGGTCGCCATGTGGAACGCCTGAATGAGTATTTTAGGCGTTGTGAACGTTTAGTGGAACGCACAGTTCATTTATCTTGGAGATGATTTCATCGTACAAAAGTTATAAATAAATTCAACCATTTAGATAGCTGTCGATAAATAATGCTCAACATATGATCTCACAAGATCTCTAGACTCACACTGATTTTTTTTAGGTTGCTGCATACATGGTGTTGTTTCCGTGTCGTTGGTTGTGCTATTTGCTTTATTAATCGAATAAAACAAGCGTTAATCATCAGAAAAACTACTATGGTTCCGACTAAAAATTTTTATTCCGATTTATCATGTTTATTGAAATATTCATAGGGTAGTTAGTAAAAAGGAAGTAGATGTCTTCTTTATTAAGATCTTGCATCTTTTATAAGAAAATAAACATTTTGAAATGAAATCTTGAAACATGCATCTCTCCCAACGTACCTACATAGAACAGTTTAACAGATCTAGCTGTACCTCTGCGAATACTAAATGCGCAGTAAATCAGCCTGCGGAGTGTGGCGAGAGGTCATTAACATCGAGGAACTTGTGTAGTGAACATCGTGTTGGTACAGAGAGTGAAGAAATTATTCTCTGCCGTGGACTGCGAGTTATTTGTTGACTTTGAAAATGTCTTCGAACAGTAAACTGACAAACAAAATTCTCAGTGTGGACGGACGTGCTGATAACGTCCGTCCACAAAGAAGGTACGCGGATATCATGTGCTATCGTAGGGATCGGTTTTGTGTTGTGCTAGTTCTTGTAAGAAATATCGAAATGTGTGAGAGTTTTTAAAAAAGTGAAGTTTAAGGACCCCTTCATTCACGCCGGTATCTACGCCGGGGTGGTTCAAATAACCACGTAATGGGGCCATATATGTGAATTCAAAAATCAGAAGGTCTCCCAAAGAGAAGGCGACCCAATAAATATATATGTAAAAAATCAAAAGGTCTCCTGATCAGGATGCGACAGTAAAAAAGTACATCGTTTTTTATTTATTGAAAAAGGGTGACAAAAAAAGGGTGGCAGCATTGCTTCGAGCAAGACCGCTGCGCCCCTCCCGACGAAGCTTCTGTCAAATTGATGTCAATTTGATAGGAGGAGCCTGGACGAATGCGTCCGAGTGGGAAGAACGTCCACAAAATTAGAAATACAAACTTTATTGGGATTTATGCAAACTGAAGCAACGGCAGGAGGAATACAAATTCTTTTTGTGAAGGTGAAAATTAATTGTTTCGGAATCTGAAGATGGTAGTCTATTCGGAGTCGAAACATTTCCTGACGAAAACTATGCATCAACAGTAGGCGAAAAATTGTATTATCCTTAGGCAACCAATCTTCGAAGATTTATAATTAATTGTATCTATGTATATTTTGGTATGTTAGTATCAGTATTGCAAGCAATATTTTGTAGATTATTTACGTGCTACGTTTCATGATAAATTCTACTAACTATGCATTCAAATATATATCAGTTATCGGTTGTGAGTTTAACAATTTTCTTTTAGTTCATTCATCTCTAATGAGGACGTACGTATCTATTATCTTCAATTATATATCACTCATTACCCTTCAATTATTTTCCATCTGCACAAAAGGAAGAGCTGGGGTTCTCACTGATATATGTGTAGTTGTCAACACTTGCCGAATTTATTTAAGCCTAAATTTTTTTCCGATTGTATTTCCTGATAAAAGTTGGTAGTGGACAGTTACTGTCTCTCTTTATCGTTCACGCATCTCATAGTTTGGGGCAGATTTAAATTAGGTACAGCACTTTTTTTAAGCAGTTTCCTTACAGACAATCCTAATAATTCGTTTCTCAGGTCTCTTTCGTAATCATTGCTAGTAAAATGAACGGAACAAATTTGACTGGTATCAGGATTCCATTTATCCGCTCTTTTGCAGCGTCTTATCCATTCTTTTCGTACAGTACCCGATACGAAATCATTTGCTTTAGGAAAGTTGTGGCAAACAATGTCTTTTCCGGTAAGTTTTGTGGACACACGGTAGTTGTTACAACCAAAAACAGCGCAACGACGTCCTGGCATGTTTATTGTAAAAAAAGTCTGTCATTTACTAGATGCACGAAGAAGTATAAACACAAAAACCGTCACTTAACAACGTGTCTCATCGCGTTCATAGCCACACACCGCGATATTCCAACGGCTACGGGTCCGCGGTGATGTCATAAAGTAGTGGGGACTCGGTTCACGCACGACAACGTTGCTGGTATAGGGATCTGGCTATCCTATGTTATATAACGGTCCTTGCACGGCTTCCTTGAATTTTCTCCTAAACCAGTGTTCCTCTTTGTGGATGATTTCAGCTTGAGCCCACTTGATATTATGTTGATGAGTCCAAACATGCTCTACTATTCCGGATTTTCTGGTTTCTCCTCGCTGTGTGTGTTTCTTGTGCTCAGCAATGCGAACTTTCAATGGCCTCTTAGTCCACATTGCTAAGAACAAGAAACACACACAGCGAGGAGAAACCAGCAAATCCGGAATAGCACAGCATGTTTGGACTCATCAACATAATATCAAGTGGGCTCAAGCTGAAATCATCCACAAAGAGGAACACTGATTCAGGAGAAAATTCAAGGAAGCCGCGTATATGTTGTCCAACAACGCATTTAGTCAAGCTAGCGTAGAGATACGTAACATATGGAAACCTCTTATCAAGCGAAAAACGACCAACTCCCGCCAAACGGTCATCTCCCGCTAAAACCAATGAAGCTGAAAGAGGAAAGATAGGTGAAAGCACCCGAATGACCTATAAATAGTCAGATCTCGGAGGAATAAGTCCAGTTATCACCCGAAGACGATTGTGGATACTAACAATCAAAACGTCGTGACGTAACTTGGTTTGGAATCTCTTCATTTTAATTTTTCATTTTTGTTAATAATATTTTTTCATTTTCAGCTTTTATTAATATTTCAATTTTTTATTTTCTGGTTGTAGCTTGTATGTTATTTCCTTTTAATTTCAGTTTTTTGTTTTAATAAAATGGTTTTTTCGGTTAATCATTTATTTTTTTCAGCGATTTCAAATCAACTTATATTATATTAGACAATGGAAGTCCAAACTGAAGAAATACACCACGAAACATTGTCAACCACCTTCAAACAAATCCAAGATTCGATATACAAGTACATTCTATAAGTAGTATTAAGTTTTTAGGTAGGTACTAAACATGTTCATGGTCAGTGAGAATAATCTATTTTAGTTCAGAACGCATTTATTATCAACAATGATCAATACAGTGTCTAGCAACATGTTAACAACTCCAACAATAATTCCAAATGAATACGTGGTAGGTAGGTACATTTGTATTTGTTATTACCAAATGAAAACTGTACATCCATTTTGGCAAAACACAATATATATTTAGCTTATCACATATTAACAGCAAAAATTTAACATTCAATCACAGATTACATCAATGACACCTTTTCGTACTTGGGAGGATTATATATTTTGAATCTTGAACTGAATCATGACCAAATATTTCTCTAACTTCATGGGAGAATACTACAAATATTTTATTCACTATAAAGTAATTGAGGGCTTCGGTAAAAAATAAAGATAAAATTAAATGTTATTTTTTTATGAAAATAACCATATTTCACAGGAGTCGGCAGTGATTCAAATCTATCAGCGATGATACGTCGATATCACTTCTAGAAAATAAAATAACGTTCAAAAACTCTCCCGTTTTATTGATCGGTTTTTGGAATCACAAAGTTTGAATGGATTTAATGTATCAGAGGTAACACAACTCGATATCCAAAAAACTGTAATAACACAATTAAATTTCGAAACAAAAAAATAGACTCAAAATATATATCCAATAACTTAGGCGATTATCAATAGCTAAATATTAACAAAAATAATTACACAACATTCTTTGATTCATCAAAAAAATATGTAAGGAGCCCCTACCCAATAGTCGACATTTCATTATATTCTATTCGTATTATTACCTTCTTATGCCTATCTATAACATGATATGTATTCACTAGACATAGTGTGAGCAAAACATATCCTTCAGGGCTCTTTCTTTTTTAGCAAACATATATATATGTATTACAATATTTATTAGGCACATGCTTTGATTAAATATGAACACTGGTAACCTGCCTATATGTAGGTTGACTAAAACTTCTGTCTTGCTACCTCGATGAATTTCATCTGTACCCATAATAGAGAGATATCGGTAACCCAAATGACGTCAGACAGTATTAGCTCATGCTATTTTGACAATTTCACATATGCACGATTCGATTCTTAACACACCGTTCCCAAATAACGTTATCACCAACACTAAACACTAATGCGCCTTTTTCCTGAGAATAGTACAGCAAACGTGTCACGAGAGGCAGCACTAGTAGCAGAGACAAACAATAAACTATTCACATGTAAAACAGTGTTATTTACGTAACATTAATTTATTATTTAAAAATATAAATCTGATACAAAAAATTATTTTGTGCTAGTATAATGCCAACAAAGCATTGCTGTTTTGCGAATTGTACGTCGGATGATCAATATCCGGAAGAAAACGTGTTTTTTATACCATTTATAAAACCTCATATTGGTGAAGTTAGATGTAAGAAATGGATACATATTTCGAGGAGAGTGGATTTAACGTGCGACAAATAAATAAATATTCATATGTATGCTCTAAACATGAAATGAATAGTAAATTTTTCATAGTTATTTACCATTGATTAGAATTATATATAACCTCAATCGTTGAATCGTTAAATTATATTCATTCTATTCAATTAAATTTATTTCATTACCATCTATATTTGATTCATATTTCACTCGGAAATAATGAAATTCATAATTATTTTATATATTTTTTATTACAGTTTGAATCTACCGCTACTCTTTTACTAGAGTCTGTATACTAACTTGTCTATTAATTCAATTTTTTTTTCAGTTACTTTTAAATTACGGCATGCAAGTCAACGTTTTAATGTTACAACATTGTTATTCTTTACAGTTGCAAATTTTAGTTTTGCTCCAGGAACATTTTCTTCTGTTAAAAACATTCTTTTTTAATTGTACTTTACCATATGTTTATATGAGGAATAGGCAGTGTTTGTCCCTACCGAACTACTAGCGCTACTAGTGAGTGATTTTTTGTACTTCAGGAAAAAGGTTCATTTACGAAGCAAACTACAGACGGTATTTGAAATACTGCCTAAAAAATTAACCTGCTGGACATGCGCAGAGTTTTTTTATTTAAAAGTTGAAGGTTATGTTAGTTTGTTGTTATTTATACTTACCATACAAACCTCAGAGTAACAAAAGACAATAGAGAGGCCTTTTCCATCCTTACATTGAAGGCAGCGTAACTTTGTTTGTTTACGGAAAGTAAGTTGGACCATAAAACAGTGGCGGTCGGTTTAGTTGATAACCGGAAGGATATTATATATTTATAGAATCATTTCAAGTGAATTCTGTTCAAATAGTTCCTACAGGAAATCTGATTTATTATTAATGATTATGGAAATGGGGCCAGTTTTTCTACCACCTACTAGATTTTTATTTATGTTTGGCTTCATAATAAAGACCCTGAAAAATGGAAAACCATATTAGAAATATAGAAATTTCATTTGAGTGGACACGAGGACAAGCCACAAAAACAATAAAGCTACACGGTAAAACGTCGCGTCGCTCCGATAACTGTTAAATAAAATTAAAATACCGCTTGACATAAAACCACTACCGCAGGCCATTAATAAAGTTCACAGACGCTATTCATTTTACCGATATCTCTCTAATGAATTTCATGGTCAGATCGCTACTGACATTTTATAATAATGTCAAACATATTTTGGTTCCAAGTTAAACTGATTTTGAAGTTCCATCCCTACATATGAACTAGTTTAATGAAAATATGTGCATTCATATTACAATATATGAAGAATTTCATTCTGGATTTTTTCATTTCTAAAGGAAAATAAGGAGACAGTCAGTCTTTAGCCAAATAAACATTTTCTAAGGCGGACTCCATTAATAGAAATGCACACGTCATTCAATATCATCAAGGTCAGTAGAAGTTTTGGCCACCGTGATCTGCTGAGTTAAATTCTAACTTAAATATCCTTCATACAGCAGGGAGAATAACGTTTATGTTGAAGGTTGTGAGCAACCATTTAAATAAAAATACTTATACGGTTCAAGAGACAAGAAATGAAGGAATTTTTCTATACTTCGGTATTTTTTCTACTAATACTCTGAATATTATGACATTAGGATATCTAGAGAGCATAGAAACAGAAACCCTAGTGTAGTTACCGATTTGCTTTTGTCTTATCAAAAGCCTCAATGCGACTGAGGAGGATATTAGCCCATACAAATATTGATAGATGGTGCAAGAATCGAATTCTGCAACACTGCGTGCGTTTACCGGTTTCCAACGGTTAAAATTATACTTTTCCGCTAGTAAAATGGCTAAGTCTTCACTACTGGATACATTTGAAACGATTACTAACTTTTACGCTACATTTAATTCTGAAAGCTAACACAATGTAGGGAAAGCACATAACATTTCTTCTTCTCTTTTTTATGGTCTTTGCTTCCGTTTCGGCGCAGTAGACCAGGCACATAACACTAACCTAATCGAAGATCTGTCATAAATTTCCATAGATAGTAGACATAATTGAAACTAATATACCTGTGATGCACTGTTTGGAACCTTTGGTCTAGTAATGAATATTACTCGAGTTTTTTTCAACACCAAACAGTTCGATCTTCCTCTTGAAGATGATCACTTGGTGATCGAAACACGTGTCGAGGTGTTAAAATAACGGTTTGGTGTTGGGAAAAAACTCCGGTAATATTCATTGAAAATTATCTTCAAACGTAATTGAGTACAATAATATTCCTAAAGAACTATAAACAATTATTACTAGGGTTTCTATGCATCTTGCAAAAGATAATTCTGAAAATCATTGCTTTCTCATACAAAAAATCGAATATTCCGAACAAATTAAATGGTTTAAACATATTAAATGGTTTGGACTTTCACGGCTGAGGTTTTCAAGCAATGTCAAGCAATGACACTGAAAACCTCAACCTCAGATTATTTATAAAGCATGCTATAACTTCAAGACCTGTATCTTCTATGGGCGACACGTAGTGTTGAGAATATAATTATGACATGAAGGCAGAAAGAATATTCCTCATATTGAATAATATTTCAGTATCTACAGATTTCAAAACTTCAAAATATATTGAAATGAAACGGAATAGATGAGATGTTCCATAACCTGGACAAGAAAAACTGTTCCGATAATAGGAAAACCACACTTCTCAATTATGACATATAACTTGAATAATTGATGTACTTCTGACCATTTCTGAGCACTGATTGGGAAAGCAATTCATCGTGAATTTTCTAGCAGGCGAATCATTAATAAAATTCAGTTGGATTCCTTCGGCAAGGATCAAAATGAGGAACTCTCTTTCACGTGATGTGAATAATGGAATCAATTACTTCAGACATTTCCAATAAAGCAAGACACATTAAGACTAGGTAACTAGAAACATTTATATGTGCAGCCAGTGTAAAAGGTGATAGTGGGGAGTGCATTAGAATAGAAAATGTTTTTTTTTTATTTTAAGAAATCAACGAATACTCATTTTTATTGAAGAACAGTATCAATTCTTCACTGGGAAGGGAAAAATTATGTTCCTTTTTTGCAAACTGCTTCGTTTCATACTTTTTACCAACAGCCCACGGACTTATAAATAGAAAAAGACCGACATTATATGAAAAAAAATTGTGAAAATATCTTCTAGAGATAGCTTTTCATTTTGAGGCTGGCAACTGGTGACTTTATTCCAGATTTCACACTTATTAGAGTAATTTCATTAAAGCCATATATTTTGGCAAGAAATTATTTCATCTATCTAAGAACCGATTACCCAACTTTTTCAACATTAGAAGTTATGTAGTCATTTGATTAGACAAAGGCATATTTTCAAAATATGTACTTCTTGCGAATCTTATCAAAAAAATTCATCATATTTATCATTAGTATAAAGTATAATAGATGTATATTTTTAACCAAACCTAACCTACAACGGATGAAGGGAAGAGGGATAGATTTCAAAAGAAAGTATTTGCGATTTTTAAGAATTAGCGAGAAATAACTATAAAAATGTTCAGAGCTGCAAATTCAAAGCCAATGCAATACGAATGCCTGTCCTCAGACACTATTATTGGAACTTAACATTGTATTCGTTGATTTCTCGATTACTTAAGAGTACAGATATACTTACAGATGCTCTATAATTATTGAAGCTTAAAATACTAGCTTTGAGATCATATATCTTCATCATTGAGTGTCTTATGATTGTATTCATTACAAGCATATAGATTGCATTCGATTGATTAAAGAGAATAACAAGCTTCGCATCAATATACACTTATTCAGTTGAATAAAATGTTCATGTCAGTTACTATGAACAAGAACTATAGCATTGATATCTATATTAAATAACAATAACACTTGAAAACAGAGAAAGAAAAGAATATTTATTTGTCACCTATGTTGATGTTCGAGATGACAGTTTTTTCAGTGGAGTACAAATTATTTACTCTGAGAGAAACGTCGTATGAGGTTCATATAGAATATTATACTATACGTAATTCGTGATTTCAATAAAAAAATACTCAGATGACTTTATATACAAGTTATAAAACATTGTAAATTGGCTAATCAGTCAACAATTTGCTGTACAAATCACGTTCTTGATTGTAAACATGCGCAAGCAAATTTTTTTCAGTACAATATAAAATTTTGAGAAAAAACAATGCTTGCTTCAGTGAAAGCTCTAACAGAGATTTCAGCAAGCGCAGTCTAAATAATTCTACGTCGATTATGAGAAATGATTGTTACTAGTTGATAACAGACCAAGATATTTTTGCAAAGAATTTTGTGCCGCTTTGAAATTGGACCGTCTTGTGACAGTTGTGCAAAAGCGTAGAAGGGGCCTCACTAAATATTTTTCTGGTATTTCCAACTTTCAATTCGGATTTATGTTTTTTGGCATTCAATTCAAACATTCTCACTTTTAACTCGGAATAATGTGAATCATGAATAAGATCAAGCTAAACGAGGTTGGGTTAGGTTATAATAAGGCTGTGACGGAATGCAAAAGTTACAAGCGATACATTTTATAAAAAATGTTACCACAAGATATAGAAAATTGACTAATAAAAAAAGTTATCTCTTCTGCCAGTTCCTAAATCTTAGCCTCAACGTCAGGATGCGTATATGCATTGCGTCTATCCTAACTTTAGTAACAAAGCATCGGGATCTTTTTTTTTTGCTTTTCTGCAATGGATACACTATTCCAATCAGACATATATAAAATATTCTGATTGTTATGAATAATTACCTAAGTTCATGCCAACATCAAACAGAATTTCATAAATATACAGTTATGAACCCAATAAAAAAAAACTGCTTTTCCCAATATGACTTTAATCGCAAAGTAATTAGTCTTTCGATATTTCCAGTGTTTTCCTATATAGCATAGACTTAAATAATGTCTCTTTCGTCATCGTCGGCGCCACAGAAGGAATACCGCATTGCGCAAGATTCAAATCTCAACTTTAATTCAACCAACAACAAGAATTCATGTTTCCGAACTTCTATGTTACTTATTTCTTACCACTTTGTTCCGTGTTGGACCTTCTTCATACATACAACGAACTTTTCTTATTACTTACTTCTCTCACGGCCTCAAAAAAACATCTGAAAAATCCCGTGTTTGAAATCGGAATTTCCGAATTGAATCATAGAAAGTGAGGTTAAAATTTTCGGATCTCCAAATTATGGAAGCAAAGTTCCAACTGTAACGAGGCCATCGTTCTGAAATCGCATTTTAACAAGGAACTTAAAAAATAGCAGTAGCCAAGCTGTGTAATTAGCCAAAGGGAAATTAATTTTTACCAAATTATTTCAATCTTGAGAGAAAACTAATATATGTTTTCTAATTCAAAAGACGAGTTTGCTGGATTTCTTTGAATATTAACCGTTTTTATTTTATCTTCGATAAATCTTTGTCCAAGTCGCTTTAATTTTTACTTGAATATATCAATAATTGATTGTGTGAGTATCTTCTGTGTTTGAAGATTGAATGGTTCATATTCGTTTCATTAATGTTATTCATAATATCCACTACACCGATGTAATGTAGTAGGTTTTTGACTCTCCACTTCCTATACATATTCAAATATTTCATTCGATACCTTCAAAATGACATTTTAGATAATTGGGGTTATGCGTCAAAATGATAATTTCTTCTTCTCTTTTTTTATGGTTTTTGCTTCCTTTTGGCGCAGTAAAACAAGATTTTTGGGGGTATGCGTCAAACATTTGTCTTTGAAAATTGGAATATACCAGCGATAAATAAACAATTTAAGAAATGTTCGTGTTGAATATTTATCGTAAGTGTCTAGAGAGAACAACTACCTCGAGCAGATAAAAATATGAATAAAACCTAACCTAACTATTTGAGCCAAATTAGTTTATCTAGCGATAAATAATTCGCAAATTCAGTTAATCAATAGTAATCAAATATGTTTCAAATAGACCATGAGTGCATTTTCCGCAGAATGAGCATTAAACATCGCTAAATAAACTTACTTGTCTCTTACTGTAAAGATGCGCAATAAATATAACTAAAAATGAAAAAAGCAAATTAGGTATTCCAACTTTCCTTATGATGTCATAGTTTTAAATCAGTATTACTAACCTATCATTACCTGTATAAAAAATAGGTTAACCTTTGGCGCATTATCAGAACCATCGATAAATTTGTTTGTCTATGTACAAGTCTGCTCAAGGTAGAAGTTGTTTGTAGGTCATCTGTCATTCTGGTAGTTCTTTGAAAAAATGATTTTTATGTCATAATTTTTTGTCTAGAAATTGGAAGTATCTTGTGGGTTTTCTTAGTTTTCTCAATTCAGATAAACTTTTACAAATGATTCAGTTTGTTGAAAAGTTGAATGATAGATAATCTCATAAATAAATAGTCGTACAAAATATTTACATTTCTTTTTAAATGCCTTTTACCAAAAAACCCGTTTTATAGAAATAATTAGTAAGGTTTCTCGCTTTCTCACCTTTGCAAAAATATCCAACACTCATTCATCTATCTCATTTACAAATTTCAAGAACTAGGTACTAGGGGAAGTTGTCCTGCTCGATCCCGTAGTAACACTACTAGCGGGTAGTATCAGCCTAGGTGGAGGTGCTACTCTAGGATATTCCTCACACGGGGGAAGCACGTTTTCCATGTAACTCCCAGAAATATTCCCTGGGGGCATGTAGTGGGCGACCACGACCACTTTTCCGGAACGAGATCGAGCTTTTCCGACACCGCAGTAGCGGGTGGATACCCATACAATTTGAGTAAAATGACCTGAAATGATTTATTGATCATATTTTCCGCGTATGTTTTATCGATATTCGCAAAATAACTAAAAAATAAATTACAGACCAAGAAATATTCCAATCAACAGTAAACATTAAGTGAGAAAAGGTGATGACATCAGAACAGATTGACAGAATAGTCAATCCATGAATACTAAAGATTAACGAGGTTTCCGAAGACGGTCCGTTACAAAGCCAAGCTTCGACCGCCAAATGAGAGTCGTCATCTGTCCTACTCTGCATATTTTTGCAAGGCAATTGACTGCTTCATACCAAAACACACTATCTGAAAATTGATAACTCATCGAATGTGGATGAACAAGATAAGAAAAGAAGTAGATACTGTGTTTTGATAATGCTGTATCTGGAACCAGTACTATGCTATATCTCTGGAACTAGTGAATGATGAATAGACTGGCTCTGAAGATGCATACAATCCATTTTCAGCTTTCAGGTCAGTTAACGTGTTTTGGCATGGAGTAGCCTAACTAGTTGAAACCAGTGCCCAAAAACAACACATAATGCTAGGCTGAGCTTGACTCAACTGCCTGATCGAATAAATGCTCGTTTTGGAAGACGCCATCTAATCGACAGACGACTCAAAACACAAATAACAATGACGAATGAGGCTCCCAAAGGCGGTTAATTGTAAACCAATCTTCGAAACCAACTGCCGGACCAAATTCTTGATCAGTCTGTCAATGCTTTCATCGCAAAATAATGAGATGAAACCAGAGTTAAAAACAACATAGCATGATTTGTTTCAGTTCAGCACTGTATTCGTGCTATCTATGATGAAAATTGTATTATTTTCATCACGCTATACATTTTATTTAAGACGTGTTTTGCTACACGCTAGCTTTATCAGTTGGACTAGTACCATCAAGACCAATGGGTCAGTATATTCATGATGTTTTCGTGTTCAAAGTATCACCATTGATTGATGAAATATATGGCTGGTCTGTCTGGTGTTGGATTACGAGAATACTTTGTTTTTGGGCCCTGGTCTCGATAAGTTAACATTAAAAAAATAAAAAAATAATCCCAAGGTATATTCACCTGCATTAACATTAGCATGTAAGCAATCCGGTTCCTTTCCATAGTCGTACTGGCGTACTGCCGAATACCAATATGTAGCTACTTCTTGCCCTTCAATAAAAAATACTGAGTAAATATTTATCGATGATGAGGATTCAAGGATTGTTTTACAACTGGCAAATTGCATATTCATCAGAATCCAGTAAAATCAGCAAACAACAAGATACTTTGTTTCATTGATACAGAAAGTCTGAACATTTAAAGTATTTGTAGTAGTGCTTCCTGACATCGACATATTTCACTTGTCAACTGTCACTTGTCACGTGCAATTCGCCATTTGCAATCTGCCATCTGTAGCAAGGTTGGAGAAGATAGAAGTATCAGAAAATTAGCATTCTTGACGATTCTTGTATATTTGTCGTTTTTTGGGTTGGTTATCCGTCATTTAGCTCGGGTGATTTTGTCGATGTTTCGCCAACACCGACAATTGATATCTTCAGGATTATAAAGACTGTGTTACACATGTTTCATCAGTTTCATTATTTATTGTTTATCCTCAATAAAAGTCGGGTTATTATTATTATTATCAATATTATTATTACATGATATATACAATAGGAATCATCTTGATTTATAATCGATATAATGAATATTCTATTCACCTGTAACTTCCTGAACTAATCCATTGGAAGGTCTGCAAAATAGATTTTGACCAATATCCCTGTCGTTTCTATAGTAGAACCTGTTTGTGTGAGCTAAGTGATTCGCCCAGGTTTGAGCAAGGTGGCAAAGCTGAAAAAAATAAAAGATATTTTTTGAAAAACTGATTATTGGGTTGTATATAAACTGACTCGTGGCTTCAGTCGCAAACGTTATATTGGTCAAACAGGAAGAACTTTCGCCAAAAGTATAAGAGAACACAAACCTAGTTTTTTTAAAGAATAGACCAATTCAACAATTGAAACCAAATTTTGGATGGAAGGTCATGAATTCAATCATTATTACGACGTATTTCATATTATAACGAATCTGAAGCCACCCCTGACCGATATGTCGGCCAGCGAATAAACACATGACATCATCGCAAAAGGAATGCAGTCGGCAACCGCCGATTAAACTCTAGTTGAGTACCGAAACTATAACTATAGAATTCTAGAACGATCGTTACCGATATATAAGGCCGGCTTCTCGTCCCAAGAGGGCAGTTGAGTTCAGAAAGCGAATCGAGCGGTTAAACAAGGAATTCAAATAGTGGAGATAAATTAAGCGTCAGTTGAATATAAATTAATTTGTGATTAGTGAAATATTGTTACAAATAAATTTGTTCAAGACAGCTAATTCTTTGAATTTATTACAATATATACATAATTTAGTTTAGTATTGAAGACGCTGGAGAAGTAATTGTATAGAAAAACACGTATTGTTGTTTTACTGTTAACTGAGAATTTCACAATAGAGTATATTAAATCACATATCTTTGTTTATTTATTAAAAAAGAAACAATTGCTTCATTTTTTGCAAGTAAAACCATAAACATTTTTTAAAGAATATGACAGAGGATTTTAACAATACCCTACCATATTCGTAAAAAAACACCTATGAAAATGTGATTTACTTTCATTATCCATCAATTTGTAATGGTACTGGAACTTTTGAATGCAAATTTCGTTTTTATTTGTTTCACTTCATGAAAGCAAAGACTGATAGCATTGCGACTGACTAAAAGGAAAGTATCCAAAATGAAATGAAGCCATAAAAGCTCGATCTCTGTGCCAAGTAAAAGGACTAATCGCCGAATTCGCCTGAACCATGAAAATAATGACGTGCATTGCGATCAAGAACAAAGATAAATGAAACAAAAGCACATTTATTTGATCCTGGATACTTTATTGGAACAATTGTCTTTAAAAGGGTAGAAACAAGAAATGTCTATCTGAACGCGATAAACTCAAAAACTATCAAACGGATTTGCTTATGATTTTTGCTAACGGATGTAGTGTTTCTAAAGGAAAATTTATGTGTATAATTTATCAATGTATTTTTTGAATTGTTTCAAATATCCCGTACCAAGTTTCATAGAAAACGATGTCTTATCCCTTCGAGTATAAACATAAAAATTCAATTATGTTGTTCTTCCTTTATAAGACTACAGAAAAGTTCGCGAAGGCATATATTCATCTGTCAAGAATAGCTTTTATACCCATTTCAATGTTCATAAAACTGCACAAATATAATGTGTCAAATACATCAGTGACCTTAAACATTTCATGCGCATTATAATTGCTAATTACACTATACAATTCAAATTAATTTCCTAGGAGTTATTGGAAAATTCAAAATATCGCGCGACAAAATAAATTCAAGCGGCTTCACACACCATGCGACAAGCTTGAAGAAAACTGGCTTCGTTTTGTTTTACGTAGTGAATCACTTTGAAGACTGAGGTCGTATTTTTTTTGTTGTTTTTAAGTAGATGACTACTCACATATTAAATTATCAAATTAAACTTCATAGTTGTGAACATACTTTTGTTTGAAGGAATTTTATTGAAGATCATTATTATTAGTAATACGCCCACTGAATAGTTATGAATGAAAAATATCGGGTGGTCACTTTTTAATGATATTAACGAGGCAGCCAACACGAACAGCTGCACCAGTAATATCAATGTGAGGTCAGGATATACTCCATAACAATCGGGAGTATCTGAGCTTCCGGGAGAGTAGCCGAAATCATTACAAAAGTCACAGAAGCTCTGGAAATGCGTTATGGACATCAGTACTTGAGAAATGTATACCAGAGCCAACTATATACACAGTTGACATCAACAACCACAGAAAATCTTACAGGATTATTTGGTAGATTTCGAGACAATAATCAATCTTTCTTATCTCCAGCCCCTCAAGAACTTGAAGAGAAAATTGATGTACAGACCTTCATCGACACGTTCAAGGACACAGAGATGCAGAAAATTGTAAGGCTACATAGACATCCAACGATACATAATGTATTGGGTTGCAAACATTGCTTCCGAAAGAATTGAAATGCAGTTATAAAGGATAACCTGGCCAGAAGAAATAACTTATACATCTCTAAATTGAGCAAGCTGTATGGGAACATGGGATTCTCCAGAAAGAGGCGTTGCTACAACTGCGGAAAGCACCTGCATGGACTGTTGGAAACGACCAAGGTCTCACGCTATTCGATAAAGGGATCAACTGAATGAAGAGGAGGGACATGACACTCCAAGACAAAATCAAGGCAAAAGAAAAGAAAACAATTTCAGGAGAGATCAAAGATGGCCAGCATCCGAGAGAGGACACAGGTTTGCCATTTTCATTAGCAGTGAAAATTATGTTGCACATTGCGAGTATACGCATTTACGTTTTACTGTAGGAGTAGCACGAAAGGGCACGACGAAAGAGATAAGCGAGAGATGATCTGACACTGATTCAAAACTGGCCAAAAGAAAGAGTTTTACTTGATTGGCAGTGAGTCACCAAACATGGCACAGTTACCAAAGATTGTCGGGCTCAATAGGACCCTGGCACGACTTCGATGGAGGTTGAGGAGTGCTGAAGAAAACGGGTACAGATTTTGAATAACTGCAAGAAGAATAGGTTAGTCTCGAATGCCAAGGAAAACGCTGTACTGTTATACCGACACCCGAAGAGCAGAAGAATCTGTTTCAAATTACAAAGGAAATGGAAAGGTCCATACTTGGTGACCAAGGAGAAGAAAGACTTGGTCTAGAGGAAACCAGTAGGTTGGACCCCTATAATGGTAATCTCAGACGATTGCCACAATCAGGCAGATGATTTATTCGGGATGCACTAACATGAAGAGGGGACACTGTTACGCCGTAGTCGTTGCATACGCCACTGGGGCACGTAAGAAAATTCTCAAAATTATTAAGGATAAGCGAAGAAAGCTTTAGTAAGTTCAATAATTAAACAGTGTTGGTGAAGTATTGTACTAGTCTGTGATTTGTGAAACATCGCAAATTTCTAACAGTAAGTAAGAAAAATATTGACCGAAAAGGATATCTTACCTCCGAAGACATTGTCAAAGGTGGGGCGGCATGTCGTTGACGATATACGTTGTGCCAACACAGACAGTCCGTAATGAAATCGCTGTCTTGCCACGCTGTCCTAATCTCCGAAATGTCAAGCACCATGCTCACTGGACGGTTTGTTAGTATCTGGAAAAAAAACTATTGAATCGGCAGACATCAAGATGAAAAACAATAATACTATTTCAATAGTTTGAAACAACTCTTTCTCAACTCTCTATGCAATATAATCCACTTAGATTAAAACGAGCGTGAAACAGTTCCAATGTGTGAGAAACATGTATTTATTGGAACCAATAGTACTGATTATTTGTCAATAGGATAGCTGATCAAATTTTATTCATTTATTTGAAAGTACTGTTTCCCCATTAAAGAGGCGCGTGCAGCAAATTCTGAATATTACTTATATATAACAAGATGGACTGAAGAGGAAGGTCTTAACAAAGGTCCATCCAAATTGACCATAGTAGCAGTGACCGCAAGAACCAAATGAAAAGTCATCCCGAGAAGATAATTGGCCCAAAACACCTGGTTAAATCACCTGGTGCCAATATACATCCGTCTTCCAGGCAATTCGATACTGCGCAAGGAATATTAAATGGAGGCCTTAACGAAATGACCTAACCAAAAGTTTGTATTGGGAAATTCCGTGGAAAAACTAAGAAACTGCTTGGGCTGGAGTAGATTCACACTGTACTGGGTACCAGGATACTAAGAATAGCAGACAACGAAAATCTGACGAATTTGCTAGACACCGAACATCAACACAATACATGGACACTGAACGAATTGGGTGAGTGAAAGAATTATTGTCATGAGACCAGAGCAGGGATCCGCTCAGAATAATAACAGAACTATTCTCTGGACACTGCGCGAACAGGGGGCATCTTAACAAATCAATGATTCATAACGGAGACATCAGCTTATCAGAGACAGATCATCATGCGAATGTGAAGCACTGGATCACAGGAGATAAATAATTTATGGGCAATAATAATTATCACGAACATCTAACGAAGAATCGGTACAAATCGATTGGGGAATAAGATTGTTGGAATGAATGTTATAAATGAACGAGTCAGATAGCTCCTGATTAGCAAAAAAACAGAATATGACTTGCAATCTTTATGTCCCAGCAAAGGTAATTGTTAGAAAAAAATATGTGAACAATTGATCCATAATTTTTGTCTGTCCTATTCTCACTATAAAACTTATATTTTACTTGTAATGTATTCAACATCTGTACCAATTTATGCAAATTATCCCATTTTTTGTTCATTTTGATTGGATTGATATCGATTAATATTGAA